GGGGCGAAGGGGGAGTGCATTTTGGGTCATGATGGTGACAGGAGGCTGCTGCTGCGGGCAGGTACTTCCTGGCGGCTGGGAACGAAAAATGTCCTGCCCAATGAAGAATCTCTCTTCACAAAATGCTAAGGAGGGACTCCACTGAGACACACTGGCCTAGTCTCATGCCTGAGGATGAGACATGGCTGACTTGTCCTGGGCTCTGTGGGGAGGTAGGGTTCTAGTGCTCTTTCCACTCTGCCCTGCAGCCTGCCTCGGTTGGCCAAAAGTCAGGTCATAATGCAAATCAGGAAAAAATTGATCCCCTCTGTTCTTTTCACATATGCAGGAAAAAACGGAGAAGGAAAGATGGAGAGATTTTCCATAGATGGGATGGGGTTCTGGGCAAGGGAAGGCATTCCGAGTGGCAGTAACAGCTTTAGCAAAGGCCCGAAGGTGGGAAAGTGCAGGATACATCCAGGGAAAAGCCAGCCCACCAAGCCCAACTCTTGTCCCCACAGTCCAGGTGGAGGCCGCAGAAAGCCCAGAGGGAGCAGGGGCAGCAATGGTTGGTCCTGACGGTGGCTGAGCCCCCAGCCCCTGGAATATGCAGCCCGGGGGAGCCCCAGGCAGCGGTGAGGACGCGGTGGCGGCGTGGGGCGGGAGGCATGGTCTCCACCTACCGGGTGGCCGTGCTGGGGGCGCGAGGCGTGGGCAAGAGTGCCATCGTGCGCCAGTTCCTGTACAACGAGTTCAGCGAGGTCTGCGTGCCCACCACCGCCCGCCGCCTCTACCTGCCCGCTGTCGTCATGAACGGCCACGTGCACGACCTCCAGATCCTCGACTTCCCGCCCATCAGCGCCTTCCCTGTCAACACGCTGCAGGTAGGCAGTGGGGTGGTGGGGACGTGGAGGGGTGGGAGGGAGGCTGGACTCCAACCCTCTCCAGGCTCTGGCCCTGTTGCCAGGCCTCCACCTGGCTTTGAGAGCGCTGCGCGGCTCCCTGGGCCACCCCGGTTAGAGCCACACCAGGAATCCGTTCATTTGGGCGCTGGTTTATTCAACAAATATTTGATGAGCGTTTCATGTGTGTCAGGTCTTGTGGTGGGTAGAATGAATGGTCTGTAGAAGGGACAGCAGAAAAAAAGGCCAGGACCTGGGAAAGGTGTGTCCTTAGAGACAGGTCTCTAGCCCAAGCACCTTTTCTCTTAAGTGATGCTCTGCTCTCGGGACTGGCCCACTGGGCACCCTTCCTGCAGGCACTGGATTTAAATGCTGCCAGTGCCCTGGCTTGTAATGCTCCTTCCTCAAGCTTGCAGGGACTAGGTCTGCCTTCCCTCTCTGCAACTCTGGCTTGAGAGGGTGGGTGCAGGGGAAAGCTGAACTCTAAGACACATTTGCTCACCGAAAGCAGCACCTACCCAGTGTGTACAGAGGTTTTGCCCAGAAGGATAGGCACAGTGGCGGAGACAGGAAGGCAGGGGCCACAGCTTGGCCAGTTGGAATTGTGCAAATGCGGCAATCTCTCAGGCAGGGGCTGAGGGCTGATGAGGGGCTCAGGCTGAGCACTGTCTCAGCAAGCCCAGGCAGGAGGGCCTTGGCCCAACCTCACAGACACTTGTTTCTTCCATCCCAGGTGCGAGGAGTCAGCACGCATCCACCCCTTGGAAACAGCGAGGTCAGGGCAGTGGGTCTGGGGTCAGGGTCTTCTAGTTCTCCTTCAAAGGAGATTTTAACAGCAGCCTGAGTGGATACACAGATCTTGCTCCAGTCCTGCACTTTGAACTTTGTGTATTTTTCAATTTTGTTGTGTGCTTATTTTTTTATTTTAATTTAATGTCCATCTTGGCGTAGGTAAGACACAATTTAAAAGTCCAAACTTGGTAAAAAGGTACATCTAGAGAAATCTCACTCCTGCCCTCTTTCTTACCCCCACCCCCACTGTTTTGTAACACATACTTCCACTTCCAGCATTTCTTCACACAGACAAGAAAATGTGTTCTTATCCACTTCCTTTCGAACATTAAAAAAAATAATAAACTGTTCTCACCTTGTTATTGTGACTTAACCTTATAACCTGGAGATCTTCCCATGTCAGTGTCTAGTTGTCGTCTTCATTCTTTTTCCACGACTACGCGGTATTCCACTGGAGAGATGTACTATGGAGTCCCCTCTTGTTGGGCAAGTGGGATGATGCCAGTCTTTTACTGTTTCAAATCATGCCACAATGAGTAGCCTTGTACATAGCTGCTTTTTTTTTTTTTGGTACATAGGGAGGCATATCTACAGGATGGATTTCTGGAAATGGCATTGCTTAGATCAAAGGGCAAATGCAACTAGAGTTCGGAAGGTATCAGTGTCCCCTCCCCTTCTATAAAGCGGCACATTTTGTGCTCCTGTGAGCAGTGCACATGAGCACTTGTTTCCCCCACAGCCTTGCCATCAGAGTGTATTGTCCAACTTTAAGATTTTGGACAGTCTGAGAGATGAGATATGATAGCCTCAGGGTAGTTTTTATTTGCACCTCTGATTATGAGTGCGGTTGAGAGCATCTTTTCATATGTTTAAGGACCTTGGTGTTTCTTTCTCTGAAACCCGTTAATGCCCTTTGCCCATCTTTCTATTGGATTATTGGCCTATTTCTTCCTGGTTGACCTGGAGTTTTGGACTCTCCAGGATGTCTAAGACTTCACTTCTGGAGCACAGGTAAGGAACTTTGAGCAGGGAAGTACTGAGAAGCCTCAAAGATCACATATAAACCCCAAGAATCCTGACGGCCACCACCTGGAAATAAAAATACATTCTTCCCCCAAACCAGGTGAAATCCAGTCCAGGAGAGTGGGGGTTTCCTGGCTCTGAGCCTCAGCTGTTCCTTCTGCAGCCCCCTCTCCTCTGAGGTTAGAGGGCATATACAACCCACCAAAGGAATGTGCAGCAAATTCATTGTTGAGACCCAGGAGGCTGAACCTCCCTCAGCTCCTGTGTCCTTGGAACTGGACTCAGTTTTCATTGCTCCTTCTCTGTCTCCACGCAGCCCCAAGATGGTCTTTTACAGTCTGGAACCCTGTACAGAACAAGCTGGAAGGAAAGCTGAGCTTTCTTGCTTCCTCCTTTCAACCAGGGGTGAAGGGACAAGCCAGCCAATCGGGAGCCTTCTTCCTCTCCCTTTTAGGAGCCCTCAGAGAGGAGTGAGTGGGAGGCAGCCTGGAGGCCCCCTTGTGGAGGCGGCATGTTGGGGGAGAGGTGAGGCTGTCACCCTGGAAGGCTGGCAGCTGTTCCCTCTCTCCAGCAGAGAGCTGGAAGAGGGTGGGAGCTCTCTGTCTGTTTCTCCATCCCTCCCACTTCCCACTGATCTCTGCTCCTTGTGTGGGATGGGGAGGACCTGCAAACACATGTGTGTCCAAGCTCCTGGACATCACTGTATCCAGTAAAATGCAATCTTCCCTGGCGGGAGAAGCCAGTTAATGGTTTCCTACAGTTTTAGATTTGTCCTCAGCATCTTCCCCTGCACCAAAGTTAAAACTCAGCACAAAGAAAAGATGCCACATCATCTCCCTGGGGAAATCCACTGCAGCAGCTTCTAAGCCTTCGAGTTGGGAAGCGCTTTTCTGGAGTCAGACTTAACTCTCTACCACTGCCACCAAAGGCTTTTCCCTTTTATTCCTTCTCTGAGGTGGAGAACCAGCTGTAGTCCTTCTCCATGCCGGGTCCCTGCCCCAGCTCCATTCACAAGCTGGCCCAGGAGACATGCCTGTACCCCCTTCTCATCTTTTGCCTGGCCCCTCAAGGGAGAAGACCCTGGTTCCCCTTGTCCTTGAAGGCCTCTACCTCCCCCAACCTCCGGGACCCCCTTCTTTCCGCACACCGGCTGCCTTCAAATGCTCTTGCAGTTACCATCTGCTGGCAAGTTAATTAGCTAATTCTTAAGCCTTCTCCTTAGTGCACTTAGCCTTTCCAGGGGTCTATTCATCTTGAGCTACAGCCCCACCCTGAGAATTTGCCATAAGCAGTCAGGAAGTTCCATCTCCCTGGAGCTGCCCTGGGGCCCTGCTCTACATCAGCCCCCATTTTGCATCCAGTATCACACTTTTTCTCCTTAGGCCTGCTCCTTGTCAACCCTGAGGGCAGAGTGGAACATACATACAGCAGGTAGCAAGCTAAGGGCAGCATTACAGGCAGTTGCTGTGATCCCAGCATGGGCCTGGTGGGGTTCAGAACCATGGAGAGCTCACCAGGTTAGGTAGTGAGGTTACGGAGCCTGCTGAGCGCCAACAGAGTGCAAGGCACCGAGGGGAGAGGATGAAGGGGTATGTAAAAATGAGGAAGGCCTGGCTCTGGCCCTCTGAGGAGCTCACAGCAGAAGTGGGGGAGCTGAGGATGCAAACAGCTCTAACCAAGGTATCATCACAGGAGATGAAGGGAGCAGTCCCCTGCTCGCAGAAAGGCTTCTTGGAGGAGGAGGCATTTGAGCCGAACCTTGGAAGATAGAGAGGATTTCAACAGGTCCAACAGCTAGCTCATGGTTGGGCTCTTAGAGGCACTTAATAAACATACTTGAACAAAGAAAGATAGGATGGATGGATTGGGGGACAAAATGGGACAAGGAAAGTCTCCTCTCCAGATGCACACAGGACAGAGCAATGACTCTGGAGGTTAGACCGTGTGATCTGCCCTGGACCTGGCCTCCTGGGGATGGGTGGGGATGGAAGGCTTGGGTTGCAGTGGCAGGTGAGAGTGCTGTCAATATGTGGCTGGAGGTGGCTGGGGGCAGGGGGAGTCCTCATGGCTGCTCTGACCTTGGCACTGACTGGGGGTGTTGCAGGAGTGGGCAGACGCCTGCTGCAGGGGACTCCGGAGCGTCCACGCCTACATCCTGGTCTACGACATCTGCTGCTTTGACAGCTTTGAGTACGTCAAGACCATCCGCCAGCAGATCCTAGAGACGAGGTGAGGGCCTGGGATCCAGTCCATTGCCATCTCCGTGGATGCCCCAATGCTAGCTAGTGAAAAAGGTGCAGTGGGGGGATGAAGATGAAGTACCCTCTGGTTCCCACACGTACACTCAAACACGCACACACGACATTTTGCTGTCTTCATATCTGTTAACTCATTGTGGGACCCTTACCAGGGGTCGCTAGTCTAGTACGATGGGTTAAGAACAGGGGCTCCTAGAACAAAACTGCTAGAGCTATTCAGCTGCATAACTTTAGGCCAGTACACGTGTAAGCCTCAGGTTCCTCATTTGTAAAATGGGGATAACAGTAGTATCCACCTTTTGGATCAATTGTACCGATTAGAGAATATAAGTTACCTCCACAGTGTAGCGCTGCGCCTAAACAGACATATGGTAGTACTATTATTGACCAGGTACAACCTGCCCTCATTGAAGTCCAGTAGTTGTGAGACTGGCGGAATTCTGAGATTCCCACCTCGCCCCGCAGGGTGATCGGCACCTCGGAGACGCCCATCATCATCGTGGGCAATAAACGGGACCTGCAGCGTGGACGCGTGATCCCGCGCTGGAACGTGTCACACCTGGTGCGCAAGACCTGGAAGTGCGGTTACGTGGAGTGCTCGGCCAAGTACAACTGGCACATCCTGCTGCTCTTCAGCGAGCTGCTCAAGAGCGTCGGCTGCGCCCGCTGCAAGCACGTGCACGCCGCCCTGCGCTTCCAGGGCGCGCTGCGCCGTAACCGCTGCGCCATCATGTGACCCCGCCCCCGCCCCAAGGGCGCCCGTGGGCTGCAGTCGGGATGGCCCCCGCGGCTTACCCAAGGGCCCGCGGAGCTTGAGCCAGGAGCGGCAGGAATAGAACTCTGAAGGTCTGGGCCTGAGACACCCCCACAGCCACACACTTCCCGGTGAGAGGCAGAGAGAGAGAGGGAGCCTCCCCATAAATGCCCAGTCCTCCCCTCGCTCCTGCATCTGTCTTCCTGGGAAGGCCACCTTTAGTGCTGTAGTTAGTGCAGTACCTGGCCCGGCCCCAAGGGGTGCACAGCCTTTTGGGATTGGGGGTGAGTGCAGAGAAGTGGAGGGTGGGGGTGTGGAGGTGCTGCCTTGGCTGGGCCCCACCCATGTTCTCCAGAGAGTGTGTCATCGCCGCACCTCATCTTCCTTTCCGGTGTCCATCAATCTGCCCAAGCGTCTGTTGGTCCTTTACTGTTTCATCCACCCTCCGGTGCCCCTCCTCGCCCCCAGCTCCGTTCACAGGGCTCTCATTTCATCCATCCCCTTGTCGGAGATTCAGGCAGCTTCTTTGTGAGGCCAGCCTTCTGATCGTCAGCACCACCGGCACAGGACAGAGATGCGGGTGGTCCAAGGTCCCCACTCGGGTCTGAGGGTTGAGGTCCCAGATCAGTCAGGGGGAGAAGGTTGAGCTCTCCCCTCTCCAGGGAGACCTCCCTTCCCAGCAGCCCCCAGAGACACAACAACCTACCTTCCAGCCTTAACTTGATGGTCCGTCCCTGCCGGGTGCCCCTCACCCCCTTCCTGACCCCTAAGCCAGATCACCCCCTGGGTTAAAACTTTTTTTCTTGACAGTGTGGAGAGGGAGTCTCCCAAAGGATAGATTTATTTCCATGATGCCAAGTTCCAGCCCTCTATTCCGTCCTGCGTTGGGTGGCCTGCAGCTTGGGGGATGTTGGTTTTGGAGAGCAGTGGTGGGCAGGCTGTTTCCCCTGGTGGGGTTTGCAGGGTGCAGTTGTGCCAGTGAAGACTCTCTCTCCCCATTCCGCTCCAATCTGATGCCCCAGACTCTGCCTGCTTGAGTCTCAGATTACCCTGATTAATCTGGTAGAGCCAGAAAAAGAATTACGGGGACCCCTGTGCTTAGGGGAGACATGCCCGCATCCCCACCCCTAGATGGAGGCCCTCAGGATCTATGGCCCTCGTCTCAACACCAGTTGGCCCTTTGCCCTGACTCACTCCGCCCCATTTTCTCCGGCTGCTTGGCCGGGTTTCTACCTCTCGTCACCGGAGCTGCTCACTGTCAGTTTTGTGCTGATTTAGAAATAACAAAACTAATGAAGATATCAGGAGCGGCCTAAGGGATTTCTGGGGGACTTGGAGGGCAAGAGAAATGGTGCGTGTCCCCTGCCCCCTGGCCAAGTCCTTCTTGAGGCTGAGCCCTCAGCCCTGGTCTGGTAGCAAGGTCCCTTGTTAGAAGAGGGAAAGATAGAACAAGTCAGCCTCCACGTAGCTGAGCTGCGTTGTACAGACCAGGAAATCAGGTAGCTCAGGTAGCCCAGAGCGGTGATGGAGAGAAGTTCGGGGAGGGGGGGGAGTTTATCATCCAAATCGAGTGCGAGGGAATCTATGAATTTCCCAACTGATTGCCCTTCCATCCACCAGAGCAGCGCAGCCCCACAGTGACTGCCCTGACCTTGAGCAGTCCAGTATTCCTGGGTTATAGCCCCTGATGTGCTGTGTGACTTTGGGCAAGTGACCTGCCCTCTGAGCCTCCCTCTGAAACAGAGGAGGTGGCTCCCCTTCCCCACACCTTGAAGTGGCTGGAAGGGTAAGTAAGGAACAGGGCCTGCTGCCTCCATCCTCTGCATTCCCCGCCCCCCCCCATTCACCAAGGGGATAGGGTAAGGGATGGCAGCATCTCACCTGCCCCCATCACCGCCTCCCCCAGTTCTGAGACACCTGAGGTGGGGGTGGGGGACCCAGGCCTCTGGCTGCCCCTGTGGGAGCCATTGGAATGTATTGCCTGGCCGGTCCCCCTCACCCCCTCTGCTTCCCCCCAGGTCTTTGATTTAGGTTTTCTCCACCCTCATTCTGAGTCTCTGTCCTTCTCCCTGCCTCCCCTCCCACCCAGGGTTTCCCACCACAGGGTCTGGAAGTGTGTGTGACGCCCACTGCGCTGTGATCGGAAGTCAGATTAAAAATCAGGGAGTGTTTTCCCTCGTTTCTGTACCAGTGTGTCGGCTCAGTTCCTGAGGGTGGACAGGAAGGGACTCCCTACAGGGCCTGCCTACTGAGCTCTGCCAGGCAAGGAGGGTGAGGGTGATGAGGTGGCCCCGAGTCCCAAAACCCAAGTAAACCAGGAGAGCTAAAGGGAAGAGTTTGGAACTCATCTCTTCACCTACCTCTGAACCTTCCCACTGATGGAAACCATCCAGAGATGCAGCATAGTATCTGCCACTCTGTCTCAGGAAAACTTTCATAACTGGACTCAATCCCAGTTTCTGCTTCTGTGTCTTTGTCCCACTTGCTGCTGAACCCCTGTGGCCTCTCTGCCATAATTTCACAGGTGTAGCTGTGTTAACGCTCTCACCCATCCCTCTTGACTCTGATCTCCGTTCCCAAGCCCCAGAGCGAAGCTTTGAAGTACAGCAGAAGCCTGTGCAGTGCGGCCCTTGTCGCTGTCCATGGTGCTGACGCACCAGTCGCTTCAAGGAAAGCTGGGCTGTCTGGGGCAGTGTTGGTTGCCTGAGCCTCCAGACCGGAAGACTCTTTTACGCCGGCTCCCTCCCCTCATTTCCTCCCCCTCCAGTGGGAGGACATTTGAGGCTGCACCTTCCTGCACCACCACAGTGTCAGAGAGAGAGAGAGAGAGACTCAAGAGCTGGGGATTCCAGGACAGACCCACACGTATTTAATAACTTATGAGTTGTGGAAACGGTGGGCATAGCCAGAGAGCAGGAAGTTTGGTGATCTGCTCTGGGGAAGGGCGATAAGCTATAGGGTGGCCCCACCGTCCCTGGCTTAACTCTGGAGTTGGCGTGGGAAAAATGGGTTGCCCTTTTGCTCATCCGTGCAAATTGAGTCTATTTGTCTTCTGACCCTGCCTGGCCAGGATCTGTATTAAGGTGAGGGACCTTTCCTTCCGTTCCGGAGTCCAACGGACACATGGCCATTCTTTTTTTTTTTTTTTTCCTTTTTTTAAGATTTTTTTATTGGGGAGTTAGGGGGATGGGAACAGTGCTGGGGAATCGGGGGAAGGGGAACAGACAAGTTGCTGTCGTTTTGTTCTTCAGTCTAGTTGTGGAGGACGTTGTTTCACTGGCCCAAGTTGGCACCATCATTGCGCTCTTCCCGGGTGAGGCAGATCAGTCGCCGGCTTCTGGACGGCCGCTCCCTGCGGCTGCTGGCCGCTCACGCTGGCTGCTGGCTACATACGGTAGCCCATGGCAACCCATTGCCACAGGGGCTGTAGCCTACGCCGTCGCCATTGACTCATGGCAGCCCAGCTCCAGGTTGAGCTGTTGTTCAGCATCTTAGCTGTAGAGGGCAGTGTCACTGGCCCTCATATGTGGGATCCGAACCGGGGCCCTCTGGCATTCCAAGCCAGTTCTTAACCATTGCGCCACTCGGCCGGCCCCACATGGCCATTCTTTTCACTTCCCCCTCCCCACACCCACAGGCTCCAGGATGAGAAGCCCCGCCTCAGACCCAGGTCTCCTCTTCGGGTGGGAGTGGAACCTGACCAAGCTGGCGAGGCCCTAGGCCCTCCAAAGGCTGGGGGTTGCTCTCTAGTGGGGCGGCTGGCTCTTTCCTTTCTTTTCCTTCCTTCTTTTCTCCTGCCCAGGCTCCATCCACCCGAGTGGCCTCCCCGCCCTTGCTACCCAGCGCTGCTGCTCTCAACAGCCTACCGCCAGGGGGCACCCTGGCTGGACACAGGCAGAGGTAATTCAGGGGCTTGGGAATTCTTGAAGGCCGCTTCTCAGGCCTGTGGTCTCTTCGGGGCCGGATTTTGGGCCTCAGTTTCAGCTTGTAGATGGACGGCACTCTCTGGGGCTTCCGGAGTGTTCTCTTGCCCTTGCCCAGACATGCCTTGGCTTTGTCAGAATTAGGGTCGGAGGGCGAAGATGTGGGGTTCTCCGGGCTGGCAGACATAACACAGACTGAGCAGTCCTGCCCTCCTTGAGCTGGGACCTTCCTCATCCTGGTGCCTTTGGCACTCAAGCCTGCTTTTGTCCTTCGCACACTCTCCTTGGCTCCTAGTTTCCCTTTTGGGCTTCCTGGGCCTGTGGTAACAGCTAACTTAGGGGAGCCTGTAGGGGCTGCCTTCCAGGCTTCCAGGTCCACTTTAATGAGGGGTGGGGGCCCTTGAGCCAGCTCTTGGATGACTTTGTCATAAGGACCCCCAGGCTCAGGCCACCGCCCACCCAGGCTGGGGACATAGACTCCACTGCGAGGGATGACCCCAGACCCTGGCCCTGGACAGGAAGCCCTGACCTCTAGCAGCTGCATGTTGGCCAAAAGCTCCTCCTCAAGGCTGTGGTTGATGACTTGCTCCTTGGTCCCTTCATGGTTCTGTGTGCCCAGGCCCCAGGACGCTCCAGCCTCTGCTGTCACCCTGCTGTCCAGCTTCAGGTCCCCTTGCCTTCCTTCCACAGAGCAGTTCCCATGTCTGGACCCAGCCAGGACTCCAGTGATAGTCAGTGGGGTGGAGCTTCTCCCTAATTCTCTTGGGGGACCTCCACTTGCAGTACCTGGAAAACTTCCTCCTGGAGTTGGGGGTTGGGCAGTAGGCAGCCGGACAGGGATCTTGGTGGGTCCTTTACCAGGGGATGGAGAACGGGCAGATGCTGGTTCCCTGAACTGGGAGAAAGCACCCTCGGCTTTACCCCAGGGTGGCTGCCTGGGGTCCATAGGCTTGGCTAAGCTGGAACAGCGAGGCGGGGGAGATGGTCCTCTTGCTGGTGTCCCTTTGGCGGTGGCCTCAGGGGCTCGGAGTCTCTCGGGAGTTGGGGCCCTGGCATGGGTTCGCCAGCTTTCTGGCTTTTCATGAACCCAAGATGTAGGAGTCCTTCCCCTGGGGAGTTCAGGGGTGTATCTGTCCTGCCTCTTCCCTGAGGAGGTGCACCGTGGGTCTCGGGTCCCATGGGTGGGTGAGGATTGGGGAATGGGTGGGCTGTCCCCAGCTGGCAGCTGCCTCCGAGATGGGGAAAGTGGCCTCTCCTGGCACCTGAAAGGGAGAATCAGAAGGCTGGCAGGGTCATCTAACCCAGTCCCTTGGCTCTGGGAAGGGATGGCCTTTCCCCAGCCAGAACTCCAAGGGGGCCAGGCTTCGTGTTGCAGGAGACAGATGCTCCCTCTCCCTCTGTGTCTGCCCAAGAGTCTTCCTTACGGCAGATACTGTTTAAGTCTATTCTCCCTCATTCCCTGTGTAGCATATAGAAAGACACCTGGTCTGGACCCTGGGTTACTTCAAATCTCACAACTACAGGTCACCAGTCTTGGGTGACAGGGCGGGTCTTAGTGTCCGTTCTACCATGAAATGGCAGCAGGACCTTGGGTCCGTTTGTCCCCTGTAGGAGCCTCAGCTTCGTCGTCTGTGAAATGGGAGGGCACATGAAGTAACTGGATGATCCCAAAGGTACTGGGTGCTTTTTGGTTCTGAACACCTGAGGTCTTGTTGGGGTAGGGTCACTGCGGAGAGACCTGCTCCTTTCATCTTGGGGTGGGGTGGCCTCTGAGAATGTGGACTCCAAAAAAAAAAAAAGAGGCCCTGCCCTGTCCCTCCCCTGTACCTCAGGAATGGTGCTGTCTCTCTGAGGACCCCTGCTCCGGCTCCCCGTTCACTGCGGGGTCTGGGAGAGGAGGAGGCAGGGGGCCTCATCTTTCCGCATGAAGAAGTATATGTCTTCCAGTCCACAGGGGGCAGCGGGCTCTGGGAACGGCTGACTGTCATCGTAGGCTGTGGCTGCCAGGGCTCATCTTGCACCCTCACTTCATGCTGCACCGGTGGAACTGGGGGCTTCAGGAAGCTGCCTGGCTTGTGTGCTACCAAAACAGCCCCCAAGAGAGGAGAGAAGGAAAGGGTTAAATTCCTGCTGATGTTCCTCTTCCCTAGCTGTCCCATGCCCAATATCCCACATTAGAGACAGTGGGACCTACAGTGATGGTGACAGCACCAGTGCCAGAATTTCCTTATAAGGGCTTAAGGGATGAAATCCGGACAGAGGCCTGGGGTGCTGGTGGGGGGAACTAGTTCAAAGCTGAGTTTGTATTGCAAATCCACATCTTTTACTTAGATTGTATGCGTATTTGGGATGGTTTGAGGCGCTGATGGAGATTACCGGAGGTTAAAGACCCCTCCAAGTTATGCTTGGTGCCACCCCTATGGACAGCAGAGCCAGACCTAAGCGCTGCCAAGAGGCACCCCGACCAAACGCTGATTCTCTGTGAGTTTGGCGTCATCTTGTGGCTACAATTGGTATTGCACTATGGCCGCTCTCCTTCTAGGGCTGACGGGGCACCACACCTGTACCTTCTAGAGTACCTTCATTCCTCCATCCCCTGGAGATCAGACCTACCACCCACTTCCGGGCTCTCGACCCAGAGCACGGGGAGGGGACTCTCAAGGGACTCACAGAGGGATGTGCACCGGCATGGGTCATGTTTGTCCAGATAATGGCTGAGTGTGTCCCAGCCGCCCCCCACACGCACCATCACATGATTCCGGAGGACCTGCAGTGGGCAAAGGTAAGGTTGAGAGAAGAGTGCAGGGCCTCCCCTCTTCGCAAACCCGCCTTCAGGCTTCCAGCATGCACCCCCATCCATGTACACACGCACCTACAAATACTCCCTTGCACACATGTGTAGCTGAGAGTGTGCATAGTTTGCAGCTTGAGTGACCTCCGTGACTGGCATCGGATAACACGTTGTCAAGGGTGGAGGCCAGGCAGACAAACAGTTACCCCACAACGAGACAAGGGATCTCACAAGCATTGTATAGTCTGGCCCCAGAGCCCTCCCTTGTCTCCCTTCACTGTAAAGGGGTTTGCTCCTGCAAATGCTTGTATCAGAAATGGGGCCCTGGCTTTGCTCTGAAGCGCATGTCAAAGAATCAGAGGGACTCTCAGCTGCACTCCACTCTGGGTCACATAGTCTCTCCAGGCTTCCATTTCCTCAGTTGAGAAATGGGGCCACAATTCCTTGCCCCAGTCTACTTCTCAGGGCTATTGGCTTAGGGTCTGGGTGAGGGCTCAGGGAGTTGGCTCTGCCCCGAGGTGTGGCCTGTGCCCAAGGAAAGGGCTTGGCCATGCCCCAGAGCTGCTGGCCACACCCCCAGGCACAAACTGTTCCTGGTGAGGAATTGCCAGGTATGGGGGAGTAGGGGAGGAGGTAGTGGGAGGCATATTTCAGACCTGTATTACTGCTCACTCTGCAGAATGTACTAAGCCAGGCTTGTGAGCTGTGAACTATGAGGTCCGTGTGGCTGGGCCACGTACAGAACACAAACTTGGTGCTCCTTGCTCTGCCCAAGCCTGTGGGTGGAGTGGAGGTGATGGAAATTGGGAATACCCTTCATACCCTACTTCTTCCTGGGGACCCCTCTGGACTAGGCTAAAGTGGAGGGGGGGCGAGTAGTTCTGGCTGCCCTAATGGAAGGAAGGGATAGGCTTGCCAACTTTTTTTTTTTAATTTTATTGGGGAATAGCCATAGTCATTGGTTACACATTGCTTTCATGCTACAATGGCATAGTTGACTCTTTTAGGAAGGGCACAGCTCACAGTGGCCCATGCGGGGATCGAACCGGCAACCTTGGTGTTATCAGCACCACGTTCTAACCAACTGAGCTAACTAGTCACCCCAGGCTTGCTAATTTTGTCAGGAGTTTCCTGGAATTCTCCAAGGGAGAGAAAGCAAGTCCCAAGGCCTGATAAGTTGGGGTGAATGGTGACAGCCTCTCCTTGCCCTCAGGCCTGGGCAGGTTCCCATGGAAGAAAACCCTATTCTGCTGACTCTGAGGGCCACTCCACCCTTATCCTTGGACTTACCCGGATAAAGATGAGGGTGTTGGAGTCTCCTACGCGGTACTTCCCCTCAGACACCTTGACCATGGAGAACTGAACTGGGCACGTGCAGTGGCTCACAAGGCTCTGAACCTGCGGGCAGTAGGAATGGGTGCAGCCCTCCCTCTGCACAGGTGCCCAGCTCCCCACACCCCATGCTGGGTCAAGCCCAATGAGGGGGCCTGCCTGCCCCCAGAGCCAGCCTGAGACTTCTGCTGAGGTCAGGGCTGGGGACTGAGAAGCGAGTAGAGAAGACTTTTAATGCCAATGAGAGCAAGACCTTGAGTGGTCACCTACGACCCACTGCCCTCATAGGTCAGCTGATGGAGGTAGCAGAGTGTAATGGTGAAGAAGGTGGACCTTGGTATCTGAAAGGCTTGGATCAGAGTCCTGCCTCCATCGTATCATAGGCCTTGGGCAAGTTGAGAAACCTCCCTGAGCCTGATTTCTCGGTGGTAGAAATGGGGTGAGTCACAGTAAGAGCTAACCCCTCTGTGCCAGACACTGTCCTGAGCACTCCATTTGCTCTTTAGTATTTAATACTCATGTCAGTCATAAAAGGTGGGTACTGTTACTATCCCCACACCACGGATAAGGGAACTGAGGCACAGAGAGGTTAAACAACTTGACTAAAGTCACACAGTTGCAAAGCCGTGACAGAGATGGTGCTAGAGCCTATGTTCTTAAAAACTGTCCCACCAGGGGTTAAATGAGAGAGGTATAGAGTGCTGGACTTATAATAATTTTTTAAAAACGTGATAAGTGGCTTAGCTACTACTATATGTGATTAGGGCTGAGGCTCAGAGTGGGACAGGACTTACATAAAGCCACACAGTGGATTATTGTCAGGGTGGGGACTGGAGCACAAGAAGAGGGTGGTGCAGAGGGGGCAGGGGTGGAGGAGGGAGAGGAGCGCGGAGCAAAGGGAGGCTGGGTCTAAGGGTATGTCCAAGCCCCTCACCATCTGGTCCAGGTTGCGGAAGTGGCAGAAGCGGCGCATTGGCGGCGTGGGCAGCGGGGGGTCGGGCGGGGGCAGAGCCAGTTCTTGCCGCAGCTCCTCCTCGATCTCCTCCTCCAGCTGCACCAGGGTGGGCGCCGCCACTCCGAAGCGCCAGGCCCGGCGGCCCAGCTCCAGTAAACACAGCACCACGTTCTTCACGTTCTTGCGCAGCACCAAGTCCTCGGTCTCAAACATCAGCACCTCTGGCAATGGGGGGGGGGGGGCGGAGGGGAGCGGGGTAGGCAGCCTGAGCGGGTGGGAAAGTCCTGGGGGCCATCCTGGGACCAGAGTGGCAGGCATGGGGGGTGGTTTGGGTCTGAGGACCCTGAGTCAGGCCAGCCACTAGGAAGGGTCTGGACCAAATCACTCAGGCACTGAGGGCAGACAAGGTGGCCCATCTAACAGGAGAGGTCATTGGGGCAGGAAGAGGTGACAGAGCCAAGCAAAAGAACCTGGGGCCTGGTTGTGGGCCGCAGTGAGGGAAGGGTTAACTCCATCCTGGCTTTCTCGCCACTCAGTGGCCAGGATGGGTCCAGGAGCAAGAAGCAGTTTGTTCTGCTTCCGAACCCCTCCTCTCATCTCCAATACCCACCAGGCATCTCACTTTTTTTTTTTTTTTTTAGCTGAGCCATCCTGCTACCTATTGGCAGCTCAGCAGCTGCTCAGCTCGGGCTGGACTCGAACCGCTGTTGCTCAGAGCTCAAACTCTTTTTTTTTTTTTTTCAGCTGAGCCATCCTGCTACCTGTTGGCAGCTCAGCGGCTGCTCAGCTCGGGCTGGACTCGAACCGCTGTTGCTCAGAGCTCAAACTCTTGAGAGAGCTCTTAACCAACTGAGCCACTCGGCCAGCCCCACCCCCACCAGGCATCTCAAACTCAACCACCAGCTCACCTATAATCAGGCAGGCTCTGGAGCCCGACTGTTAGCGTTGGAACCCTAACTGTCCGACCCACCAGCGGTGTGACCTTGGGCTAATCCCTGAGCCTCAGTTTCTTCTGTAAAATGGGGATGGAGTCTGTTTCAGGGGATTGTTGAGAGGATAGTGGTAACCGTTTGCAGACAAAGTCCGGCACATGGTAAGTGCTCTGTAAAACACTACACATGGATCTGTGGTCCATCCTCCAATCCTGCCCCTCATTGCCTTGCTACCAGCCTGACCCTTCCCTCTGCCTCATCCCCACTGCCTTTGGAATGGAAGATGTTGCAACATCCACCTTTATCCTGCTTCTGGGTCCCAGGCCAAGGAGATGAGTCACAAGCCCCAGCATGAATGACCTCTCCCAAATATTCAGTGCTTCCTCCCTGCCCTTGCCCTACCCACTCGAGCCCTGTGCCCTCACCAGCTCCAGCTTCTCTCTAGTCATCCAAACACAACACTTTTTCTGTGCTTTTATCCCAGCTGCCCCGCTGCCTAGAATTCCCTTTCCTCCAAATTTCTCTTTATTCCACAAAACTCAACTCACACTTCCTTCTTCTCTGTGGTCTCTCCATCCCCCCACACACTTCATTAGGTAGCTGTTTCCTTCCCTAGCTCCCCAGCACACACACCTCTCCTTTAAGCTTTTATCACTTGGGCTGTAATTTAGGTATCTACTCATCCATCTCCCTTCCTAGACCATGAACCCCTTGGACACTGGGTCTCAGTGCTCTGGGTCCTCAGTACCCAGCATGGTGCTTGAGACAAAGTAGATAGGTACTCAGTATGTGTTTGCTGAATGAAGGCATCATTCAATCAACACATTTAATTTTTGAGGGTTTACTATGAAGTAGGGAAACTGAGGCATGAAAAAGGATGAGCTGGCTCAAGGCAAATCTGGAAGGAGGACCCAGCCTTTGACCCCCTGTGCAGCCTGGGCCTCAGAGAGGAGGTGAATGCTCAGCAAGGTAAGGGTCTTGGGGGTCCATGGTGGGTACCTTGGATGCCCATCTCCTTGCGACACCACTGGATGAAGTTGGACACGTTGTCCCGGGCCTGGAATGTGCCCGGCTGGGCGGCCCCGTTGCAAGAAACCCCGGCCTGAGGCATGGGAATCCTTTGGGCTCTGGCAGGCGCCTCAGCCAGGAAGGCCAAGGCCGTCTCGGTAATGGCATTGGCATGCCGGCACAGCACCAGGCCCGTCTCCAGCATCTGCAGGAAGTTGGCTGCATCGATGTCCAGCCCATACAGATCCCGAAGCCACTCAGCCAGGTCTTCCTTCATGGCTTCCAGGTACTGCTCGCTGGACTTAAAGGGCCGGATGCTACGCACCGGAGGCCCCAGGGTCCCAGGCCTCCTTCCACGTCCCTCAGGCTGGGACATGGCTCAACAGCAGGGGAGGAGGTGGGCACCTGCTCTTTCCAGCTGCTGCGTCTTGGCTGGTTCTCTCTGACTTCAGGGTTCCCCTTCTATCCTCCGAGAGCTTAGGACTTCCGGCTCTGCTACTTGCGGCTGGCTTCAGCTGCTGCCACCAGACCAGCCTGGTACCCCGCCCCCCCACATTCCTCAGTCCCTGCCAGAACTTTCCCTACTTGGTGGCCCTGCAGCGACCCTACTCTCCTGCTGCCCAGTCGGCTCAGAGTTCTCCACCTTCCAGGACGGATGGAGGTGAGGACACTCCTCTTTCCCCGCCAGGGCTGGACAGGTCAGGCGAGATGACTCCCACCCCCTACCGCTGGCAGTGAGCTCGGTGTGGCTGTGGGCCTCTCCACTCTGCTTTCTTCTCTCCTTGGAGACAGCGGCTGATACAAACACTCCTTGTTAACCCTTCCTGGCAGGCAAGGACTGCCCTGCAGAGCCTGCCCTGGAGCCAATGGAGCAGGGAGAAGAGGCTGGGGTTGAGCCGGGTGGGGGCTCTTGGGGAATGGAGGCGGAGGGGGGGAGCAGGGTCAGGGGGTGCTGTGGCCCTTGGTGTTAACGGAGCACTATAGGATGGGGATGAAATAGACACAACGATAGATTCCAGGCACATGAGTTTAACCCTGGACCCTTTGCTAAATCCTCTGTGACCTTCATATGCTACCTACCCTCTCTGTGCCTTAGTTACCTTGACTGTAAAATGGGAATAATAATATCTACCTCTGTGGGTGTTATAGGGAATAAAAGAATAATGTATATGGAAAATATCAGACTGTTAGGACAAGCACAGGCTTGGGACTGGGTGGGTCCCGGCTCTCAATGATTCTCCCAGCAGCCCTGTCTAGGCACCGTGATCCCTACTTTCTTTGGAGAACCTTGCCCTATCCCCAAATCTAACTGCACAATTCCTCTAGAGTGGGCTGTCAATGACAGTACCTCACACCACGGCCACAGCAATGCATCCATTCAACAGATATTTCTTGAGTACCTACTGTGTGCCATGCACTATTATAGACCCAAGGAATGAGCTATAAATGAGGCCCCTGACCTCATGGAGGCTGCTTACATGTTAGTGACTGCTGGGTGACAGATAAACAGATCTACAGTAAGTCAGATGGGGATACATACCAGGGCTAAAGGAGATGGGCGTGTGTGAAATTTTATACAAAGTGGTCAGGAAAGGACTGACTGATCTGGTGATATTTGGGCAGAGATGTGAGAGAAGTAAGGAAGCAAGACCTGCAGGTATCTGGGGGAAAGGTACTTGGATAGGAGGGAACAGCCGGTGCAAAAGCGCCAGGCAGGAGCGTGCTTAGCATATCTCAGGAATAGCGAAGAGAAGTGGGACATGAGGCAGAGAGGAAACGGGGTCTCAGATCATGCGGGGCATTTCTTTACCTTTAGAAGGGGGTTTTCTTTCTATTCCCTTCTAAAGGCATTAAGACTGTGGTTACTGTACCCATTTTATGGATGAGGGAACAAGAAAACTGAAGTGGGGTAGGAAGCCTTAGCTCCTCACTTATATGATCCTCTCCAAAGGGTTGACTGAGTGTGTTCATGACATGGCACCTGGGTTTCCCCTGAGCTAAGGCAATGAGCTGGAAGTGGGTGGAGTGGAGAGCAGCGCTGTGAAAGGATAGGGATAGACTATGAAGGGGAGGAGAAAAAAATCATGATACAAATAAACAGAATGCTTTACGTGCTTGATGTGGGCCAGGTAAAGTGGTACTGTACCACTATACCTTATTTACCGATGAAGAGACTGAGAGTCAGAGAGATAACATGTTGAAGGTCAGATACCTTTTATATTTATGTGGCAGAGCTGGGATTTGAACCCTGTCTATTGAGGGCCAAAGCCACCCTCTACTTCCCCCTTAATGCCTTCTCACAAGGGAAGGTAGAGGACACCTGGGTTTTGAGTGCTTTTGGAGGCTCTAGAAAAGGTAGCTATTCCTGCTTGGAACCCTGTAAGCAGGTAAGGTTCTAGCCACGCCCCTTGTGATCCAACTGAGGCCCTAGGGACCAAAACAAGTTCTATGGGCTCTGGCTACTCCCTCTTATCCTAGGCTCTGATCAGGGGAAGAGGGCAGCACAGCCTTGGAAAGAATGGATAAGCATGGTGAGTGGGGCCAGAGGCAGGGTGGGGCCAGAGGACAGGGTCTCTTGACTCCCATGTTGACCAACCAGCCCATCACCATGGTAACCCCAGAGTAGAAGTCCAGCTTTTTCTGAATTACCCATCCATGTAGAAACGCTCTCCGTTTTCTTTCCTGAATATTCTTTTTTTTTTAATATTTTTATTGGGGAATTGGGGGATGGGAATAACGCTGGGGAATTGGGGGAAGGGGAACAGACATGTTGCTGTCCTTTTGTTCTTCAGTCTAGTTGTGGAGGACATTGCTTTACTGGCCCAAGTTGGCACCATCATTGCGCTCTTCCTGGGCGAGGCAGATCAGTCGCAGGCTTCTGGACGGCCGCTCACTGTGGCTGCTGGCCGCTCACACTGGCTGCTGGCTACACACAGTAGCCCATGGCAACCCACTGCAGCAGGGGCTGCAGCCTACGCCCTCGCAGGTGACTCACTACAGCCCATCTCCAGGTTGAGCTGTTGTTCAGCATCTTAGCTGTAGAGGGCAGTGTCACTGGCCCTCATATGTGGAATCTGAACCGGGGCCCTCTGGCATCCCAAGCCAGCTCTTAACCATCGTGCCACTCGGCTGGCCCTTTTCCTGAATATTCTTGATGTCTGCTCCCTCATCTTTACCTCTTGGACCCTTTTTTTCTTTTTTTTAAAGATTTTATTGGGGAATTGGGGGAGGGGAACAGACAAGTTGCTGTCCTTTTCTTCTTCAGTCTAGTTGTGGAGGACATCGCTTCACTGGCCCATGTTGGTATTATAATCATTGCGCTCTTCCCGGGTGAGGCAGTTGCTCACCGGCCATTGGACAGCCGCTCATGGCGGCTCACGCCTGCTCACGCCAGCTGCCGGCCAGCCCCCCTGCAGCCTACACCATCTCTGGAGACTCATGGCAGCCTAGCTCCAGGTTGAGCTGTTGTTCACCATCTTAGCTGTAGAGGGCGCAGTGTCACTGGCCCTCATGTGGGATCTGAACCGGGGCCTCGCTGCTCAGAGCTGGTGTCCCAAGCCAACTCCTAACCAACATGCCACTCGGCCGGCCCTACCTCCTGGACCTTTGACCTTGACCACTGCAATGACTTCTAAGTGTGTCTCCCTCTGTCAGAGGGAACATCCTAAATCACAGCTCTGAGCATGTCCCTGCATCAAAGCATTCAGAGGCTCCCCACTGCTGAAGAGCCGTGACCCTTGGTGTTTAGTGAGCACTGTAGAATGGGGATGAAATAGACACAGCAGTGGAATCCAAAGACATGAGTTTAGCCCTGGGCCCTTTGCTAACTCCCTCTGTGACCTTCAATTGCTACCAAAGTCCAAACTCCATAGCCCGACACCTGAAGTCTCCATCCAATTCCCCTCCTCCTGAATAGTTCCCAGGACCCTTTTTGGGCTAAGCACTAGGTCTGGCCTTTCACAACCAGATGGCTCCTTAATCTGTTTTCTTAAATAAAAGTACAGTGAATCTGGGTTCTTCACCTTTAGCAACACCAAGAACTGGTAGAATCTTTCAAGCACCTTTTCTTGAAAAGTTTCCAAAACTCTTGGATGAAATTCAGAGGCCCCTCTGTGACCGACTTCATCACCTGCCTGAGAGGTAGATGAAGGGTTGCTGATGCATGAAGAGTTTCGGATGATGATTGCATGCAGTTGCTGCTCAATACAAGTGGGCTAGAACGCTAATTTTATTATCATTCCTCATTGTCTCCAACCTCGTTAGGTTGGGCTGGGAGCAGTAGCAATTTTTCGAGACCTGTCCAGGGCAAATCCCAGTTGTGCTTTCCCTGCCTTCTTTTTGTTACGAGGCCAGCTCCCCAGATCCAGCAGACAGCAAGGCACATGGTGCTGTGCCAGTGTTTGCTGATGAGGGTGGACACCTCCCAGTCAGGCAGGTTACTTTCCATGTCAGCCCAGGAACTCCCTGCCTGCCTGCAGGGGCTACTGCTTGGATTTGTGGAGTTTGTGCCCCAAACAAAGATAAGCAAGAGAGGTCAGTGGTGGCTGACATCCATCTGGCAATTGGGGTCAAGCCTGGAAGGAGGAAGAGACACCTTTGACACCTTTTCCTAATTGGTCTGCCCATAAGGGACACTTTTTCTGATTGTTCTGTCCATCTCAGGCGCCTTTTTCTTTTCTTTTTTAAAATTTTATTGTGGAACAGCCGTGGTCATTGGTTACACATCGCTTTAATGCTACAATGGCAAGTTGACTCTTTTAGGGAGGGCGCAGCTCACAGTGGCCCATGCTGGGATCGAACCAGCAACCTTGGTGTTATCAGCACCAGTCTCTAACCAACTGAGCTAACTGGTCACCCCATGAGGCATCTTTTTCTAATCATAGGAGGCACTATGTGCCCACCTGCCCACTCTGCCACAGGCGATGCTGGGCTTCCTTAAGGCAAGGCCCACTTTGAAGAAGGATGTCCCTCCCATACAGGAAAAATATATATATACATAAATAACCACCTATGGGGGTTTCAACCAATGCACTTAATGTTTATTGACAACCTACACAGAGATCAGTACCCACCCTAGAACCAATTGGAAGGAAGGCGATGAGCCATAATTTCTTCCAGGTTTGCAACGCTCATTGCTATCTCCTGTTGATTGCTTTCCGCTCGCCAAGCCCTGGGCTGGGCACCTTACACAGACGCGATCTCATACCTATCTCACTACCCTTAGGATAGGCACTACTTTTTCCCATTTCACAGATGAGGAAACAGGTTGATAGAGCAACGTGACTTGCCCAGAATCCTCAGCTAGAAAGTGCAGAAACCTGGAAAATCGGGAGCAGCCAGGCAAGCCCTCCCTCACCCGGGAAATCCTGGGCACTGTAACCCTCTCTCGAGTCCTGCTGGCTCGTACCGTCCTTCAGGTGCCTGACTTTTTCAGGGGTCAGATTGTGGGCGACAGTCAGGGTACCCCAGGGACAGGGGGCCTGAACTGACCTCCCCACCCCGCAGGCGTGAAGACCCCGTTGTGGAAGAAAGAACTGGAGGAGCCCGAGGCCAGGGAGGCGGAGGCTGCGCAGGAGGGGTCGGAGGAGGAAGACCAGGAGAGGCCGCTACAGGACAGCACGGCCGAGGGCGAAGCGGAGTATCAGGAGGTGGAGGGCGGCGAGAGCCGCGAGCGGGACTCGGTGTCCTACTGCCCGCTGCGCCAGGAGTCCAGCACCCAGCGGGTGGCGCTGCTGCGGCTCGCGGGCAGCGGCTTCTGGGGCTGGCTCAGCCCTTTCGCGCTGCTCGGCGGCCTGGTGGCTCTGGTCGACAGGTGAGGGCGCGAACCTGGGCTCAGGCAGCACAGACTGGCGTCGCAGCCCGGGCGGAAGGGGACGGCTCGGTGCACTGAGCGTCTGTGTCCCCGCCCGCAGAAAGCGGAGCCTCACAGAGCAGCCGTGCGTACTGGAGACGCCGCGACGACCACCCCGCGGCGGGGGCTGTGCGCGCTGCGAGATCCTTTTCTGCAAGAAATGCAGGAGCCTGCACAGCCTTCCGGACTACGTGGCGCACTGTATTCTGGAGCACCCGGATCTGGGTGAGGCGTGGGCTTAGGGGAGGGCGGGGGCCCCTGGGCGCCCCCACTCCCCGACTTGGTGCTCTCCATGCTCGCCTGACCGCAAACTCCCCACAACCTTCGCCTGTCCCTTGACGCGGAGCGCTCTCCAGCACATCCCACGGAGCTGTCCCCTTCTCAGGGCTGCCCTTCCGGAGAGCTCCCCTCAAGCAAGCAGGCCCGCCCCCGATGCAGCGATGCCACCTGGCATCTAGCGCCCACCCAATGCAGAGCCCAACTTCTTTGGAGCTCCATTGCTCCCATAGTGCCTCTGAGCCCCCCTCGCCTCCCTGGCCACACCGCCAGCACTCAGTGCCTACTACCCACCTGACTCGCGTCCCCGGGCACAGCCTCACATTCATCTCTTGGGTATTTCAGGTCCTTCTGGCCCGCTGGGCAGATGCATCGACTAAAGAAAATAACCTCCAGGTTCCCTTACCCCTCTGAGAAACCTGCCCTTCCCCTCAAATCATTCAATAAAGCCTCTAAGCAAAGTGTCAGTGCCTTTAGGTGGGGGGCAAGGTGGCTCCCCTGAGAATGATGAAATTGATCCTCCGTCTCCTCTGCAGAGGTTCAAGCCAGAGGAGCTTCCCCCAGGGTGGAACAAAGCGCTTGCATCCAAGGGCAGTCAAAGGCCATTCTCCCCCACTTAGCAGAGAAAAAAAATGAGGGCGCAGGACGAGGAAAGCCCATGGGGAGCTGAGGGCTGAACCTTGCCAGACCATTCTCCCCTCCCCCTGGAAGCTCGGTCCAGCTGAGGTCAATGTGTGTGCAAATGAGGCACTGGCAGGTGTGGTGTGAGAAGGACTAGAGAACCAGATGCTAAACCGCTGAGACTAGCTGAGGCAGAAGACAGGGCGGCTGGGGGAGCTGGTTGCTTCTCCAGGAATCCTAGCTATTCTTGGCCAGCCAGCAGGAGCTCCTGGAATGCTGTGTGTGTGGCCTGGAGAATGGGGCCACTGTGAGTGAGCACAAGGCCTCCCCCAGCCTGCAGGGCCCCCAGCGCCTGCAGCAGTGCAGACCTCCAGAGATGCCCCTGCCCACTCCCTGCCACATGTGGTTCTCCATCTGGCCTGGGGGATGAAAAGGGGGCCAAGGACATTTTGCTTTTTGAGGAGAGGCCATCTCTCCCCATCACCACACACACACACACACACACACACACACACACACATCACACACACACACACACACACACAGCCTGCTGGTTTGGGCTTGGCCGGGTAGAACATGGTCTCAGCCTCTGCGGCATCCATGCCTACCTACCTCTCACTGGAAACCATTCCAAGGAAGACTGATTTGTGCCTCCTGGCCCACCACTGGGGACACCTCTTTATTCCAGCTTCCCACAAAAAGCCAGGGCCCAGCAGGCCTGTATCAGTCTCCTTCTCGGTCTGAGTCCTGACCACCCACTCAGGGCCTCTGAGGTTGGAGACCCTTGTCCTAACCCATCCAGGCTTCCTGAGGTAGGGCCTCTGATTAAATATGACACAATTCTCCAAGGACTGAGCCAGGAGGTCCTGAAGGTGAGGCAACAGTCTCGCAAAGTGGTCCCAACCTCTCCATTGAGATTAGCATCGTCCCTGGTTGCCCACTGCTGCCGCCTCATAGACAGGAACTGCACCTTTAGTGGAAGAAACAAAATCCCCAAGGCTTGGGGAAGAAAGAGTCCTTGGGGGAAACGGTCTGGGACCCTTTTTGGCTTCTCCTTGGAGTGATCCCAGCCCCACCTCCTTGTGGTGGGGACAGCAGAGACAATGCCACGTTCTCCAGGGAAAAAAACACCGATTTCTTTGCTGGGTCTTCTTCAGGGAGTCAGGCTTCCAAGACAGTTTCTGCCCCTGGGGCAGGGAACACGTGTTGATCATGAGGGCACCAACAGTTCACTGAGAGGTGGCGGTGCCTTCAGAACAGGGCGCCCCCCGAGTTGGCGTGCCAGCAGCCCATCCAGGGCAGCTCTGCCGCCCAGCGGCCCGAGGCCATCACCCGCAGTTTGGCCTGGTCAAGGCGCCAGTAGCGGTCATCTCTGAAGAAGATGACGGAGCCATCTGGTCGGGGCAGGGCGCCGCTGACCTCTTCAGGGACACCACCCCAGTCCTGCAGGCCTCGGGGGTAGTAGGACTCCACCTGCAGTCCCCCTCGGGCCAGCACATAGTAGCGGGCACCCTTGAAGAGGACGAGGCGGCTCAGAGGAGGGAAGAAGAGGGCCGCATCCGGGTGGCGGGGCAGCCCCCCTGCTCGGCACAGCTGTGGTGAACCCCACATTGGCTTGGGGCCCCGAAACCTCCAGCATCGACTCCCTGTGGGGCATTGGAAGAGCCAGGGTGAGCTGGCAGCTCTCGCTCTTTCGTCCTCCTCTGCTCCTCTGCACCTGTTCCCTCATACCCCTGCTGCCCCTTGTGTTGGAGCCCAAGGTGGTTAATCCAAATGGATCATACTAATGCTTATAGAGTAAGGAGGCTGTTGTGGCCTAAACTTCCAGCAGGTGTCAGCAGAGGGCAGATAGTGCTTAAGGCACCTATCTACCGCTGCCTAGGTAGCCGGGTCCCCTCCCTGGCTGAGGACTGGACTCTAGGGAAGGCCAGGGGCTTACTTCACTGTCGTTACTACCAATAGTTTTAGGAGGACAGGGAGTTTTGTTTTGTTCAGTACTGTATCCCAACACTTCCAACCATGTCTAGTGCATAGAAGGCACTCACTATTTGTTGAATGAATGGATGGACTTTACTGAATTAATATACTGCACACTCCTCAGACATCATGTTCTCTTCACCCAGCAAACCTGAAAAACTGTTTTCCCCATTCAAGAACTTCAAGCTCCAAGAATTAACGTGCCCAACTTCACACAGCCAGGATTCCTAGGAAGGCACACTTTCTGCTGAATGCAGAGCTCAGGAACAGTCAGTCCTCTGCTTCCCTCTGGAGTCTTCTCTGAAACTCTCCTACCCTCTCTCCCTAGGACAATCTTGACACCTCCTCCCTGACCACCACCACCTCCCAAATCCACCACTGACTGAAAGAATCTCCTGGTGGAGTTTCCTGGGGCCACAGGTTTGGATTGGAATTGAGATGCTTCCCCGTCTTTTGATCTTGGGTAGGACACCTTCCCTCTCTAGGTCTCAGTTTTCTCATCTGTCCCAGGGCTGGTACCTTTAAAGAAATAGAAGTCTCCATCCTCCAACGACACTGCAGCAGCCTCAATGTGGGGGGGCAGCCCTGCCCACCTTTCCTGCAGTGGACGGGGTTCTGAGACGTTGCCATCAGTTGTCACCTCCCAGAAATGGCTCCCTTGGAAAATGTACAGTCGCTGTTGCCCGTCTGCCCAGAGAAACAAGAGCGTTGAGCAGTGACCATGAGCTTCCTACTTTCCTTCCAGAGAAGGTGCGTTCCTTGAACCCAGGTTCCCAAACTGATGAGAGAGGATGTAGCGTGCACAGCTGGGGCAGAAGGGAAAGTGCACAGGTGAAAGCAGCGTGTTGCTTGGCATGGGTTTGCTGCCCTGCAGAATGCTTGTGGCGTGGGATTTCTGGATTTTATCCTTCATCCCTCCCCCCACCTTGTACTCCAGCTCTGGGGACCCCTGAAGATGTGGGGGAGGAGGGAAGAAGGAAGCAAGGCATGGTGGGACCATCTTACCTACAGTGACGGCATCGAAGGAAGAGTGGCAATATTTAGGACCCGGGGTTTCTGAGTCCTTTCCCTGAGGTCTGTGGGGGTCCCAGGACTCAAAGTCAGTGAACAGCTTTCCCGGAAGCTGGATGGCCACAGAACGCCCCTGGGGCTTCCCTTCATGGGGAAGGTGAAGAGAGAGAGAATGCACACTGGTTGGGGAAGTGGTTGAGGGCTCAAGACCTCCCCCTTGGTTCCTTTCATCATTTTCTGATATGAGGGCAGGAAAGGAGATCAGGGGTGGGGTGGGGTGGGGGTTAGAACTATCCTTGGCTGTTGGTGTTAACCATAGCTCTAAACTCAGATGTCCTCTCGCCTATCAAACAGTCTGGGAAAGAGGAACCTACTGAGATAAAATTGGAGTGGGAGTTCAAACAAGGGTTTGGCACTAAGAAGTGCAGAGATCCTCTTCTCTGAGTCTTGGACAAAGCAGATGGCACGAGTTCAGGGGCCCAGGCTGTGATAATTACAGTACTTATAATAATTACATCGTTACACTTCACTTATGAGACTGAGGCAAAGTCCAACAAGCTTAGAATTTAGCACCAGTTCCTGAATCCTGGTCTGCAAGTTCCTAGCTATGTGACCTTGGACAAGTTGCCTAACCTCCCTGATCCCCATTCTCCTCATCTATGGACAAAAAGATACTTAACTCGTGGGTGTGTTGTATGTTAAATGCCTGGCCCAAGGTAGACACTCATGAGATAGCAGCTGTTATTATTACACTTGTGTAGGTTTCTTAGGCTACAAAGCATGGTCATACCCATTAGTACAATAGCCCTGTGAGGTAAGCAGAGCCTCAATTATTATCCATTCCTCAGAAGGTATAACTAACTGAAGGCTCTCAGAAGGGAAATGCTTTGCCCAAGAGCAATTACTAATCAGGAATGGAAAAGAGACTTGAACTCAGAGCTTCTGGCCCTGCCCATCACACCACACACTCTGAGGGAGACAGCCCCAAGCGCTGAGGTGGGCCTGGGATCCAGGCAGGTCCCTGGGTGGCCAGGTCATTCTAGGATAGAAGACCTTGTCCGAGTCCACCACCAGGCAGAGGCCCAGGCTTAGGGGAAAGTGAGTATCAGCATCATGAAGGTGGAGGTTGGGGGATAGAAAGTGTAGCTGAGAGCAGGAATGAGGGCTCTGGAGTCTGGGATGGGGAAGAGATGGGACCTCGTATTGGATCTGGGTAACGGGGCAGGGATGTGAGAGGAACTGCCGAGATCAGAGGTTGGGTAGGAATCAGGAATTGGAACGCAAAGGACTGCACAGGAATTGGTTGGGATCGATAGACCGCAGGCATGGGGGAACAGGGGCCAGAGGTTGTTCAGATTTGTGGGGAGCCTGAGGCTTCAGGATTTGGAAGGACCGGTGACAGTGGGAGGCGAGATTCCTGCGCTTAGGATGGGGGTGCAATTTGAGGAGTCGGTCCCTAAGCACTGCAGGGAAAGGGAGGCCTGGGGCAAGGGTGGGACCATTAGCGGGCACAGCCGGGGGCTCACCATACAGGCTCTGCACGGCCAGCACGTCGTCCCAGCTGAGCAGCGCGTCGCGGCCCAGCCTCTTGTAGTAGGGCGCCATGAGCGCACGCGGCGCGGGTGAGTGGGTAAGGCCGAGCGTGTGGCCGATTTCATGGGCTAGCACCACGAACAGGTTGCGCCCGCGGCGGCGGCTCAGGGACCAGTGCTCATCTTGGTCAAAGTGCGCTTCGCCTCGGCGGGGAAGGAAGGCGTGCGCCAGGGCGCCCCCTGCAGGCGTAGCAGAGGGTCAGGAGGAACGACCGCCCATCACGCCAAGTTCCCACCGCCCAGGCACCGTTGCCTTTGGAGTGTGTGTGGCTGTTTTCTGCTGAATAATTTCTCTCCTAATTCAATCTGGCAGAATCTGAAGAGTGGGACAGTGAACACATTACTAGATCGCGGGGTATGCACGACTAAGAAGCAGCGTGATGTACATACAGCATGGGGTCACACTGCCTGGGTTCCAACCCGGTTTTTACCATTTACTAGCCTTGTGACTCTGGGCAAGTAGCTTAACCCCTCTGTGTCTTAGCTTCCTGATCTGAAAACGGGAATGATGATAATGCGGTTCTTCCTCACAGGGTTGTTCTGAGGATTAAAAAGGGATGTGTGTATCTGTGTATGTTACATATACTGCTTAGTGCCTAGCACACAATAAATGCTATATAGGAATGCTTTTCGAAAAGATGTAGGAGTAGGTATAATGGTTAGCCCGGAACGGGGCATGATGGGACCTTCTGGGCTGTTAGTAAAGTTGTTTCTTGATCCGGGCACTGGCTGTGTTTACGTGTAGGTATATTTTCGTTAACAAAAAGTACAGATATTCTTGCATTCTAGCCTCTCCTCTGCCAGGGCCCCTCTGTGGGTCTCTACCTCCCTGCTTGTACATAAGCAAACAGAGGAAGTTGGGCTGGATCAGTGATTCTCAAGCTTGTATCGTGCCCCAGATAGAGCTTCTCAGTTATATAATTGCAAGTGCCTCACCTCTCGATTCGCTTTCTGCAGGGGCAGGGGTCAGCAAACTGCACTGTGGTAATGCCAGCCTTGAAGCCTATGGAGGGGCCTTCCAGCATTGCTTTCTTGGAGCCCGGGCCAACTGGAACCAACAAAGTTCCAGAGGCTGCCATTACAGGAGAGCCTCCTGGGGCATGAAGAGTTGGCCACATGCTCCTAATTTGAATGCGCTTTGAGCAGTGTTAACCCTTTCCAGTCAACTCTCACACTAATCCTGGGAGACAGATGGGCAGGTTTTTGACAAAGCACCTGTCCCAAATCAGAGCTCTGACTCCCAGTCCAGTGCTGTCTTAGCTACCAGTCTCCACCTGGGTATGGACATGAACATCTCATGTAGACATCGTGGGTGAAGTGAGTTACATGCAAGCACGTGTGTCTTACATGTGGAGTCTTGAAAAGCCTAGATTTCTTCCAGTTCTACCGTGGGCCCGGCAGCAGGGCCTGGAAGTGGGCTTTGCTCTAAGAGGGCTTGATGGAAAGCAGGAGAGTGCAAGGGAGTGGGGGCCCATAATGGCTTAAGTCCCCACCTGCAGGGGTCTGATCAGGCTTCTTTCTTCCTTAGTGGGAAGAATTAGGAGGATGCTGGAGAGCCTGCATTTAGGTTCTGAAAGCCAGCGTTGGGCAGAATGGGAGGAAAGCAACTTAAATCGCAGCCAGAAGCCTTCAGGTTGGGGCTAAGCAGGAGAACCATGTGGGCTGTGCGTGGTGAAGCATTTCTGTGGTAGGTAGGCGGTAGCATGCCTCCTGCCCTGTGGCAGTGACTGCGGTAGTGGGTGTGAGGGGAAGGCTGGAGTAGGGTCGTGGCGACCTCTGGATGTTTTTAGGGCCTTGGTATGGAGAACATCCACTCCTGGAGAACAAGGGAGGCGCAGGCTTGTCTAGAGGCAGGGGATGGATAATAGGACCTCCGAAGATTCTCCCTGAGTAGATAATACTCTTTAGAGTTTGTAAAGTGCTTTCCATGCGGAACCGCATCTGACCATCCCTCCAGCCATGTGGCACGTAATAGGGCAGGATGGTTGTTTCCATTCTATAGATGAGGGGAATGAAGGTGCAGATGCTCCGTTGCCCTCCACAGACTACCTCTCCTAGGTGGGTTCCCCTCCTGCCACGTGGGACAGAGGCTCTGCGTCAGCACCTGGGCCATCAAAGGCGTTGCCCAGCCCATCGTTGTGGTCCCCTTGGAAGAAGGTGAGGCGGATGTCAGCAGGGACTGTGGCTGGGGCCTCCCAGAACTCCAGGGCCGAGACGTTGCTCCACAGCTGGAAGGCGGCGCGCACAGCTCCCCGAACTGCCGGCTCAGGCAGGTGCTGGGGCCAGTTCACCAGGCGGTAGGACAGGTGCTGCTTGTACCACTTGCTGCCTGCCACCCAGAGAGGCCGCATTAGTCACACCTGCTGCAGAACACATATGCTGGGGAGATAGGCCTTCCCCCAGGGAGCCCCTGATCTGGTGGGAAAGACAGCCCGTGCCTTGGGAGCCCCCCATTTGGTTGGGGTGACACTGCTCTTAGACAGATAGGACTACCCTTGTCCTAGAAAGTCCCCGGTCTAGTGGCTTGGCCTGAGGGAGTCCCGATATGATGGGGAAGATGCAACTCTGTCCAGGAAAAGCTCCCAACCTGAAGAAACTTCTGGTCTGGGATCTTCTTCCCCAGCCTGGGTTGAGCCTGAAAACCACTCCGCGCCTCTTGCTGTCAGCAAATCCTGGCTCCTGCCCATCGTGGTCACAGACAGACTGCCCCCTCCCTCTTCCTCTCCACCCTTCACACCCTCCAGCTGCCTCCCTTTCCAGTGTCTGCAGACTGCGCTGACAAGCAACCACAAGACCCACTTATTCCAGGTCCTTCCCTGACCCCTTGCCCTCCCCCTCACTTCCTTAGGGACTCTGGAGAGTTCTGAGGTGAAAACAAATAAGAACAAAGGGTGTGTTTTGTCACTGACCAAGAGAAATTTTTCCATCTCCACTTAGTTAAGTGTTTCTATTCCTTTGCCCAAAACTGCAATTCCTCCCTAAGGCCTGACAGTCGGGCCTCTTGCTGGAGCCCCAGGTCAGCCAGTCTGGGTCCAGTTGTAGCTCACCACACACCCAGGACCAGGGTGCTTAGAAGACCCATATTCTGAGTTTCTCATGGTCTATTCTGAGCTCTGCAAGCTGAGATTGTGACCCCAAGTGGAAGACTCGCAGCTCTAACGCAGGACTCCCGGGCACAGGAGCACACAAGATTCATGTTGTCTTTTGGGTCTCAGTTTCCCAGATGGACCTAATCCCTGGGGCACATGAAACAAGTGGGAAGGCCTGGCTGTGCAAGAAGGCCAGGCTAGTGGGCACAGCTTCCTCTCCCCTTGGTGGGGCAGCTGAAGGTTCAGGCCTCCTGCCCCTGTGTCCTGGGGAAGTCCTTGCCTGAACCAGACAGGAGGAGTGAAGTTGTGGTGGTCCCTTTATCCAACCTCTCCTCTACCTTGGGGAAATTGAGACCAGAGAAAGGGAACTCCCCAGGGTCACAGACGGAGGGACTAGGAGACCAGGCCCTGACACCTAATTCAATGCACTTTCCACTATACCACACAGAAAAGCAGGCATGTTTGCTAAGACTCAAGGCTTATAAATTTGCCTAAACACCGCTCCTTTGGGTCAAAGCAGGGGCTCTGCGCGAGCTAAAAAAACCCTCCAGATGGAAGGGAGAGTCTTAGAGAGCAGAGGCGCCCTTTCCCTCCCCCATCCCCCCGTGGAAGTGAGGGAGGGGAACGTCCCTTCTCCCACCCCTGAGCAAAGCTCCATTCAAGGCAATGCTGCCTCCTCAGGCCTGTTTGGCCTGGCAGCCACCCAGCCCCTCCTAGCCAGTGACCAACCCTCAGGGAGGAAAAAGAGAAGGATTCTAAGGGAGGGAAGGCCTGGAGGCGCCGCAGAAGGGTTCATTATGTGCCAGTAACACTTCTAGTGCCTGTAAGTCTTCACTGGACACTGGACTGGCTGCTGCTGGGCTCTCATCCCCTGCTGTGGGTAACCGACTCTGAACTCCCAGACCGCTCCCCCACCCCCACCCCAACCTTCAAGCTTCTAGAACACTATGAGGCAGATCCTTCTGCCTCTTTGCAGCTAGGGTGCCCATCCCTCTAAGGGCAGGACACGGGGAGGGTGGGCAATTTTCTCACTCTAGGTAGCCAGTGAAGGTGATACCTCGCAGGATAAAAATCCTCTGTGAAACTCTGTGTGTGTGTGTGTGTGTGTGTGTGTGTGTGTGTGTGTGTGTGTGTACGCTTAGGGAGGATAGAGAGGGCAACTAGGAATAGGAATTAAGAGAAAATGACTAATTTTCCTTGGAAAGGGAGCAGGGTGGTGGGTCATTGGTGCGCCTGCCAGACAGGAAGGAACTGCTGGCCGGCAGCCTGAGCCCCGTCCCCTGTCTTTTTCCAAACTTGTGTCCTTGGAGTGAGTAGGCTGGCCACTTCAGGCCCTATCCCAAACTCCTGGCCAGGCAGGCCTGGTTTCCATGGTGATCTCCAGGCCATATTAGCACCTTGCACTGCATACCCCTACACACACCCTTGCACCAAAATCCAAAAGGGAAGAGAAAAGGAAAAGGAGATGGGGAAAGGGGGAGAGCTAGATTCCTTGCTTGGGGAGGACCCTGGCAGGCATCTTGACTCCCAACAGGCAACTGACGCTGTGGAAAGAACAAGGGTTACAAGCTCAATACCTCTACTTACAACCTTACATGACAAATTATGAAATCCCTCCAAGCCTCAGTTTCCTCCCTTGCAAAATGGGGTTGATAAGACTTACCTCATGGTAAAAATGAAATAAGCATTGTGAAGCTGCCTGGCTTGTGCTGGGTGCTCACTAAGCACCCATTCCCTTCTTGCTTTCCACCCCAGTTCCAACCCCACCCCGTGCTCCACACCCCCACCAGGTCTGTGAGGGGGCAGTGGGGCTTAAACATCAGCCCTGCAGGCACAGAGGGGAGGGTACTTGGAATGAGGTTGCCAGGTTTAGCAATTCAGAATACAGGATGCCTGGTTAAACTTGAACCTCAAGTAAACAACAAATAATGTTTTGAGTACGAGTATGTAAAAGCCAAATGATTATTTGTTGTTCACCTGAAATTCAGGTTTAACTGGGAATCCTTTCTTTTATCAGGCCAGCCTGCCCTGCAGGCAGCTTCATCAGCACAGCATTCACCCACCTAGTGGAAAGTCACTGGCCTAGGAATCCACATGTTTTTTAAGCACCTACCCACCCATATTCTGGGGTGTTCCACATCTGGAATCTCACTTACTCCTCCCAATGACAAGAAGGCGTGGCTACACTCAGGCTCGGTGGCCCTGAGGAAGTTGCCTAAGCCCTTTGTCCATCTGTTTGCCCATCTGTAAGTGAGGATAATAATGGTACCTATCTCATAGGGTCGTTACAGGATTACATTAGTTAATCCATTTGGAAGCATGTTTGGCACATCATAAATGCTCAGTGTGTTAACTGTTATTATTACATTTTCTTTCCTAAGGCAAAGGAAGTGCTCAGTGCCTGCCAAGCCCACAGCTTCTTTCTAGGGAATGTCTTCCCACCCAGGAGGTGAAGGAAATGAAGCTGCTATGGGTCATGTTGTGACCAAGATGGGAAATTCTCTGTCTAACCTGGAGACTGCTGTCTGGATCAGAGGTCAGTGTCAGACAGTGAAATGGGGTTAGGCTGGTGGGATGAGGTCACCTGCCTGGGAGGTGCCTTAGCCCAGATCTCTGTCCAAAAGGGATACTCCAAATTGGACAGTGACAGACTCTATCAGATTCCCCCCTGGGGCATAAGATGAGATGCTGCTAGAACGAAGCATCCTGAGGGTCATGCCCTGAATATCCAGGAGGCATCATCTCAGTTCTCTGTGAGACCACCTGTAGCCTGGAAGTGCCTGCCACTGCTGAGTCTGGGTCTGGGGCTGCCCCATTTCCCACTGTAGTCCCACAAGCCCCTTCCCCTCGGTAATCACAGCCCATCTCTCCTTTGCAACCCAAGGGGGCCTGGAGCGTGGGTGAGGAAACAGCAAAGCAACAGCTCAGGTCGCACAGCTGAACCCAGTTCTCCAGTTCCAGGGACACTGCCCTTCCTGCTCTGCCAGGGTCTGCTGTGCTCATGCTGTTCTCCCTTCTACCTTGTCCTCTCCTCTGCTGCCCAGAAACACAGCGGTCAGCACTGGGGACCCAGAGTGGCCGGACGTAAGACACAGCAGAACTGGATTGGCAAACGCCTGGAAACAGCCCTCCTCCAACAGCTGAGGGGAAATGCCCACCATTTTCCTAGAATTAGCTGAGAAATGAAAAGAAACCATGTGCCTTCTGTCCTGCTCATCATGGTTATCGTCGGTAAAAGTACTTAAAAGCAACTTCAAAGAGGCAATCGCCCAAAGTGCTCATAGTAAAATTAATTCTAGGTGAATAACTGATGAAACAAGCCCATCTTGTTAGAAATCTTGAAAACTGCAAAAATTGATCAGAGAAAATGAGATGTAGTAAAAACAATCAAGATGTTAATATCACACGCAGCAAGACGTGTTATTGATGAAGAATAAAATCTTTATAAATCTTTACATCTGTAACATTTGACCCTGGAAGATTGGATTTGGTCAAAGAAGGAGAAACAGGAGGAAGCGGAGAAGGGAAGAAAAAAACCAGAACTATAAAAGGAAAGCCACAGCAGCAGGATCTGTAATGTGTAAAATGTGCTCTGATGAAATGTTCAGAATAGGCAAATCCATAGAGACAAAAAGTAGATTAGTGGTTGCCAGAAGCTGGAGGGAGGGAGGTTGGGGAGTGACTGCTATTGGGCATGGGGTTTCTGTTTTGAAGTGAGGAAAATGTTCTGGAATTGGATTGTGGTGATCATTGCACAATTCTGGGAATATACCAAAAGCCACTGGATTGTACATTTTAAATGGGTAAATTGTATGGTATGTGAATTGTGTTTCAGTAAAGCTGTTAAAAATGTGCTGTGGACAAAACAAAGTGAATCACATCTTTGTTGAATAATTCTTATGCAAAAGAATCAATTCTAATGAAAATAACTTCAGTAAAATATAAAGGGAAAATGTTGGCAACAGTTTTACTGCCCTGCATAACAAATGGATCAAGGAGTTAAGTGGGCTTGGTGGGGTTTGCTCTGGAAAATACTTGCACAATGAAAATTCATCAGCGTAGGTATAATTCTGATTTAAGTGTCCGTGTTTATAACACGGTCCTCAAGTCCCAGAGGTCCTATTTGACCCCCGGGGCTCCCTTCCCCTGCCCTAGGGATGAGGTTACTGACAAAGCCCAGTCTGAGGCTGAGCTGTTTTTCCTGGCCATGGGGCGTCAGGAGTGTGGGGCATCCCCAGCCTAGCTAGATTTTCACAGTGCTCACCTTGCTTTGTAAAGCGTTTCTTGCGCCTCATTTTGGCCTGCCGTCCAGCAAACAGGGCACTGACCCTCTCCGTCCAGGCTGCCTGACTATCAGTATCTGCAACCCCGCAGCGGGGCTGTGTCATCTGACGAAGGGTGGCGGGGTCCAGCATGCCACTGATGGGCAGCTGGGACACCCACTGGAACTCCCTGTCAGGAGGAACTGAGATAAAGGACCACGAAGGGAGGGTGGGGGGTGGGGAGTGAGGGCAGGGAGCCTCCCTGGAGACAGCAGGAGGCTGGGGCTGGGGAGGAAGGGAGCAATGGAATGTGACCTTCTGGACACATGTGGGAGGCCAGGCTTCTAGGAGAAGGGAAGAAGAGACCCAAACTTATACCCCAGCACCCCCAAGTCCTCCATGTCCCTCATCCTACCTGATGGCATTGCTGAATTGCATGGATGTGGGAGCTTTGGGGACCTGCTCACTGAGATATCCATACTTCTCCAGGAATGCCTGGGGGAGAGAGGAACATCAGCTTTTCCCATTGTGTGGCATCCTTTTTCCTCCCTTGGTCTCCAAGCATCCATGGCACATACATCATGCTTGGTTTCAGCCCTTGTCACAACAGGGTCTATGAGCTACATAGCAGAAAGAGTCCTGGGATCAAAGTCAGAAGGATGTGGACTCAGTTCCAGGCCACCAATGACTAGCTGGATGGTCTTTGGCAAGTCACTCAATGTTTCTGAACCTAAGCTTCCTTATTTCTAAAACTAGCCAAACAGTCCCTACCCTACGTATCTCATGGCATTGTCAGGATGCTAGCAGGGCATCTGGACAGTAGAGTTATGGGCTCTGGAGTCAGGCTGGCCTGTATTTGAATCCCACTTAGCAAGCTACATCTCTAAACCACCGGCTTCTCATCTGTAACACGGGCTTAGAAATAGTACCTACTTTACAGGGTGCTTTTTTTTTTTTATGTGTGTGTGAGAATTAATCACAATAGTGAATATAAAGTACTTAGCATAATGCCTGTTGCCTAATTGGGGCTCCATACAGAGTAACTATTATAATATGTATTATGTAAATATGCACTATGCATATGCCTCAACTCTGCCCCTGACACATCTCACCTCTCTAAGAAGTTTCCTAGTATTGATCAAGAATTGAGCTGATCACCTACAGGCTCTGCCATGCATGGATTGGGAATTATTTATCTAGTTCTGGCTTCTTCCTAAACAATTAATTCTCCTCTCCCAAAATACGGATATATTTAAGGCTCAAGAACAACAAATGCACTTACCCTCAACCCCAGGGTTTATATAAAAACTTAACTCTTCAGAAAAGTACTTTTTGAATTAGAAACCTGCAACTTTCTCCTTTCACTCATTCATTTGTTAATTCATGCAGTGTACTAGGTACCTTGCCAGGTGCAATGGTCAACAAGACACCCCTAAAGAAGCCTATATGGATAAAGACAACCAATAAAAGCACAGGTAACAAATAAATAAAGGAGAGAGTTTCAGTGCTATAAAGAAAAGAAACCAGGTGATGTGATTAAGAATAATTTAGAGGGCCGGTCGAGTGGCGCATTGATTAAGAGCTGGCTTGGGATGCCAGAGGGCCCCGGTTTGGATCCCACGTATGAGGGCCAGTGACACTGCCCTCTACAGCTAAGATGCTGAACAACAGCTCAACCTGGAACTAGGCTGCCTTGAGTCACCGGCGGCGGCGTAGGCTGCAGTGGGTTGCCATGGGCTACCGGGTGTAGCCAGCAGCCAGCTTGAGCGGCCAGCAGCCGCAGTGAGCGGGAAGAGCGCAATGATGGTGCCAACTTGGGCCAGTGAAGCAATGTCCTCCACAACTAGACTGAAGAACAAAAGGACAGCAACTTCTCTGTTCTCCTCCCAATTCCTCAGCGCTGTTCCCATCCCCCAATTCCCCAATAAAAATCTTTAGAAAAAAAAGAATGAGAGCTGAGAAACATATTTTCAAAAAAAATAATAATTTAGAGAGAAACTTTACATCAAGAGGTCAGAAAAGGATGCTCTGAAGAGCTGATATTTGATCTGAGTTCTAAAGAGCGAGAAGTACCTAGCTATGCACGGAGGTGGGAAAGGGCGGTCCGTGTAGAGGGCGCAGCAAATGCAAAAACCCTGAGTTAGGAATGACGTTGCGCGTTTAAGGAACAGAAGAAGGAAGGCTGAAGCTTAGTGAATGTGAAGCAGCAGGGCACGTGATGACTTCAGGGAGAGAGAGAGGCATACCGTCAGCCAGGGTAAGAAAAGTGACTTTTATTTTCATCTTCATGGTGGATTAATTGTGGGGAATGAAAGAAAGGGAGGAATCCAGGATGGCTCCTAAATTTTTGTCTTGGAGGGTGATGCCATTTACTGTATGAGGAAGCCTGAGGGAGGAACAGATGCGGGCGGTGGGATTAAAATGAACTCCATAAGGTCAAGTGGCCCTGGTTGTATGACCCTGGAGCTCAGAGAAGCTGGAATCTTTCAGCCTGTAGATGGTGTGAAGCTGAGGACCTGGATGAGACCCTCAGGGGAAATTAGTATAATGAAAACATCCCACTGTCCAGACACCTTTTACTCACTTCCTGCCCTCACATATCTGGAAGCTGCTCTCTCAGCAACCAAGTTCTTGGAAGCCAATGGAGAGAAGCATGTGACTCATTGTCCTCACCTGTCACCAGTCCTCCACTGAGGGGGAAGTGATGTGCTTGGCTCCTTGTTTGCCCTTCTCACTGATAAAGCCCCATGAATGGATTCTTTAGCTGCTTAATTCTAATACAGACACACACTGTCTCTTAATTTTGACCCTTTCTTGCTGTGTTACCCACGCAGAAATAATTTTCTGTCTTCCTTGTTCTCTTACTCACTTTCCTTTGCTGTATGTCTTAAATCAACTCCAATCGTAGCTGCTACCTCAAGGAAAAGGCACAAAATGGGAATGAAACTAGACATGAGCCAGGACTGGCAAGCCCCTAAGCCTCTGCAAGTGTCCAGCCTCCTCTTTTTGAATTTCACTGCATCCATCTTTTGTGACCTCCACGTCCTCTTCTCAATAAAGCCACTTTCCATAAGGAACCCTTATTTTATTTATTATTATTATTATTATTATTATTATTATTATTATTATTATTATTTTAAGATTTTTATTGGGGAATTGGGGTAAGGGGAACAGACAAGTTGCTGTCGTTTTGTTCTTCAGTCTAGTTGTGGAGGACGTTGCTTCACTGGCCCAAGTTGGCACCATCATTGCGCTCTTCCCGGGCGAGGCAGATCAGTCGCCGGCTTCTGGATGGCCGCTCACGGCGGCTGCTGGCCACTCACGCTGGCTGCTGGCTACACACGGTAGCCCATGGCAACCCACTGCAATAGGGGCTGCAGCCTACGCCGTCGCCAGCAACTCACGGCAGCCCAGCTCCAGGTTGAGCTGTTGTTCAGCATCTTAGCTGTAGAGGGCAGTGTCACTGGATCTGAACCGGGGCCCTCTGGCGTCCCAAGCCAGCTCTTAACAAATGCGCCACTCGGCCGGCCCAAGGAACCCTTATTTTAGAAGACAGAACTGTCCAGGCTCCATTTTATTGTTTTTCTGCACTAATTTATTAGAATTTCAGCACTACTGTTTTCTTTTTTCTCTTTGCTTATGTACACTATTTGGGGATACATAATGGCGATCTCGTGGCTTAATCTGGAAGACTATTTACAGCTCAATATAGTGTGACATCATGGAAATAGCCACCGGACTTGGAAACCAGACTCTGTTCCCGATCTTGATTCTGGTGTGTGGCCAGGGACAAATACTTAACTTCTCTGAGCCTCCATTCCTTTGCCCACAATGTGAGAACAAGAGAAACCCTACGAGATTCTCAGAAGGATTAAATGAAGCAGTGCACATCTAGCCTAGTTTTTGGTATATAGTAAGTGGTCAATAAACAGGGATCTAGTTGATTTACCTTAGAGGGAAAATTAACAACAGACTTTTGGAATGCAACCCATGTGTAAGATGGGAACTGCTTTAAATAGGCAGTTAGCACCTCTGTTCTCAATTCAGGTGCTCTATCACAGAATTGCCTCCTCCCAACCAGGTGCCTGGCTCTTTTCTTTGCCGCTTCTCTTTCCCCAGGTGAAGATGGAGATAGCAGCTTTGTAAGGGAAGCCAGAGAATTAATTAATGTCTGCTTACAAGCCGTTTTGCTGAGTAATTAGGGAGAGACTGGGTCACAGGCCAACAGGCTGGCACTCCCTGTGCCCCTCCCCCCAAACCCACCCAGAACTTATCAGGTTGTTGGCTCCAGCTCTGGAACTATGAAGCCAAAATGGGAGGGAGGGGAAATTAACTAGCAGCGGGCGGCGTCTCCTGTTTCCTGGCTGGGCCTGTGCCTGGTGCTTTGGAAGAAAAGGTGGGGTGGAGGGCAGGATGGGGGTGGAGGTCTTTTTCATGGATGGGTCCATCAGAGGGGAAATCTTGGGCCTTTCTCCTGACTTGTCTCTGAGACCCTGTGGGTTGCATAGCTGAATTCCTGGGACGTAGTGAGCACGTGTCCAGGGCACCAGCCAAGATACACCAAAAGAATGAAAAAAAAAAGAAATTTTAAGAATTTGACATTTTATATTTCCATAAAAGCCCTGAAGTATTATCATGAAGATTGTCAGGACTTAAGAACTCCCTTATATGTACTTTATGTTTAATATACCTATATTTAAAAAATGTTTTAATTACAAGGAAGAGTCCCCTTACTACCATCAGTGCTGAGGGCTCTAAAGTTCTGTTGAGGGGGGCAGACTCACGTCCCTGGTGAGGAGGAGGCGGAGTTGAAACACCCTCTGCTTCTGGAGCTATCCCTACGCCTCTTCTGTGAGCCCATTTGCTGTGCCTCAGTTTCCCCCTGCAAAGTGTAACACCCCTGTCTGCATCAGAGCGGGGGTGTGGGGCAGGGGACAGCAAGACAAAGGGATCCCAGGAAAAGACGCAGGACTGGGAGGTGGAGCTCTCGTTCTCATCCCAGCTCGATACTAACTGCCTTGGAGGAGTCATTTCCCTTCCCAGCTGCGGTTTTCCTGGGGGCCTGTGTCCATGCAGGGATTCTCTGAGCTCCACCCATGGTCACCTCGCCCTCCTTCATGGAGGTAATACCCAGGCTGCTCCTCTCTGCCTTGCAATTCAAACACCAGGTTTTCTCTGTCCCTTGTTCCCCACCCATCCTCTTTCTTGGGGAGCCCAAGGCTTGCACTGAGTGGAGAGGAAGCTGGAGAGCTGTGCCCCTTTGGTGATTCACCCTGCTGGGGCCTAAACCTGGTGCCAACTTGCCTCACCCACGGCTGGGGCCGCTTTCCTGGGAAGTCACCTCTGAAAAGCCCTGGGAGTGGCTGTGGTGTTTGGGTAAAACAACAACAATTCTACCTGGGACCTAGGAAGCTGAGCGGAATCAGAACGCTGGGGGTTCTAGTCCTGTATCCGTCCTGACTTGTCGTAGGTGGGTGTGTAGGGTCCAGCCCATTCAGTGCCAGAGGGAAAGAAAAAGTCTGGCCATTTCTGAGCAGGGCAAGACTACAATAAGGTGTGGCAAAATGAATCCAGGGCCAAGTCTGGAACTCTGAGTCACTGACCTGACAGGGCAAGAGCACTGGGTTAAGTGTCTTGAGTTTTATTCCTGGTGCTGCTGCTAGCTGTGTGCCTTTAGGCAAGTCCTGTGCCTCTCTGGGCCTCAGTTTCCTCTTCTGTAAAATGAGGGGGTTGGATTAGAGCAAAGCTCTACTCCAGGTCTGTCTGTTATTGTAGCCTTGCTTCTACAACTGATTACCTGTATGAACTATGACAGTTACTTAACTTCTCTGTGCCCCAAAGTATAATATGGGGGTAAGAATACTGCTTATGTTTCTTACAGGAGCATCGTGAAAATCCAGTAAGGAGGCTTTGGGAAAGCTTTATGATAACTGTCCCATTAAAAACATTCTTTTTCCCTCTATAGTTACAAAGCGTTCTTGCTGGAAGTCTAGGAGGGGCGGCTCCCAGTCTCACATCCACACTCCATAGCAAAGGACTGCAGCAGCAAAAATGAAACCAGGAATTAAAAAATTGCAAAATGGCATGCTCACACAGAAGCCATGGTGCTTTCCCTGGGAGTTATTCCATCTCCTAATATGTTTCATTATAATTTTAGTCTTTCTGTAGTGACTGAGTTTATCATTCAATACATCTTTTGCATTATTAGCCACGTCAAGATGCAAGGGATAATAGCTGGAATTCTGCCTTGTGTGTGCTGTAAATAAAAGTATTTTCTGCTAATCAGGAGCACAGTGAGTCCTTGACTATTGTAGAGTGTTAAGGGGATTAGACTTTTGAGCTTCACAATCACCTAGCAAGAACATAGGCAGGACAGGTGTTGTTATTCCCATTTTAAAGATGAGCAAAGTAAGTCTCAGGGCAGTGCAAGATCTTGGTAAAGATCTTGGTAAAGGGTCTTAGTGAGAGACGGAACCAATACTTGAATCCAAATCCTCTGACACCTATCCAGGATGTTTTATATCACATTTAAACTAGTGACTCAGAGACTTTAAAATGGAAAAAGCAGGGGCCAACCTGCTCTCTACCCTGGGAGATGGCCCTCCAATGAGAAAAAGGCAAAACTGGGGATTTTTCTAGCTGGATTCTTTCTGTGTCCTCTGCAAGCAGGTGCAGGGACAAGGCAGAGAGAGAAGCGGCTCAGCGGGTGGACTCAGTTTGCAGTGGAGGCCGGGGTCACATCTCCCGTCACACCCCAAATCAGACTTCTGACAAGCCACAGGTAGTCAACAGGACTCAAGCATGTTCTTTCACAAAGACAAACATCTGCTTCCAGGAATCGTTGCTTTTGCTCTCTGGCCCCTGGGGTCTATCGAAGGTCTCAGGGCAGTGGGGTCAGCTGGGCCCCCTTCCATTTGCCCTTCCCTCTGTCTGACTCCCTCTCTCTACTCCTCCTGGTGTCATATTCACAAAGTTCTGTCTGGGTGTAACCTAAATGCCTCTTACTATAATCCCTGCTCCTTCATTTTCCATCCTTAAGGAAGTTGGAAAACATTAGCTGGCCAGCCTCCATCCAGACCCTCTTGTACTTTTCCTGATGTCAAATAACCATGCTGTAGGAATCCGTGGTCTTCACTTGGCTTGTGGGGCTAAGTGTAAGGCATAAAATAACGCCCTGACCAAGGCTGGGTTTAGGGAGAATTTCTTTTCTTTGGTCCTGCTTCCACCACCCATCTTTTAATAGATTTCTTGGTTTTCAAGCTGGGTTGACAACTGCTTTTCCACCAACTCATGGTCCTTTGGAACCCTTCAGAGTCTCTTCTGTACTTGTGTTCACAGAGTCACTGAGCTGAGCTCTTGGGAACGCCTTCTACACCCTGGCTTCTGCGTTTCTGACTCACAAAAACTCAAATGAGTGGCTCTGGGGTATGAGAAACAGACACTGCATCTGCGGGTGGATACGCCACAGAACCTCCAGTGTCTCCCCAGAGAAACAAACTCCCCAGCTCCTTGTTGGACAGCACACCAGGCGTAGCTGTGCGGTTATGCATATACCACCGAGTGGAAGGGAGGTCCTGGACATACTGCCTGGTAGTTCTAAAGAAGGTCCGAGCAAAGCATGGTAGATAGATCCCTTGGGATAGTCTGTGTTGCCTGAGAACAGGGTAGGGCCTGGCTGGGAATGGGGGTGGGGGGCAGGGTGGTGATGTCATTCATTAACTCTCAGTTTTGCAACTCAGCAGTGGAGGCCCTTCCTACTCACTAGTGTTTGAGCAGCCCTGGTTTCCCTAAGGGCAACAATGAACTTGTTCATAATGCAGCTTTGTAAGCCATCAGTCTCCTCCCAGGCAAAGCCCGCTCCGGAAAGCCTTCAACTTTATTACTTTGTGTGCACCCAGGGGACACATACAGCCGTGCACACAGGGCACAGGGATACACACAGAGACATGGGAGCACAGACAGACATGGACACACAGGCAGAGGAATTGCACACACACACATAGGTACATGCATGCAGACACATCAAAGCCAAAAAATGTTAGTGCTGGAGAGAGAATCTTAAAAGTCATTTAAGATCTCTAACTCCCGTATTTTACAGAGGAAACTGCAGCCTGAAGTGAAGGGACTAGCTTAAGATCACACAGCTTGTTTTTATTATTTCTTTTCTTCTATGTCCTGAACTCTGACCTTTGCCCATGAGTTCAGCAGGACTGTTGTGCTTTGCTGGGGTCTAGCTCTCTGCGCTGCTGCGTTCAGGGAATTATTTATACCCGAGCCAAGAGCAGGGGTGATCATGGGCCTCACTTTGTGTGGTTGCCGTCTGTGGATGGTTGCATTTCCTTAAATGACCACACATTTCCTATTCCCATATTTTTCTTACAATGTGACTTCAACATTCCTCCCACCAATTGTGGGGTCTGTGTTCTATCCCCTTGACCTGAGGTTTGTGTCTGCTCCATCCAATGGAGTACAGCAGAAGTGAGGCTATGCAACTTCCTAGTCTAGATCATAAAGAGGACACAACTTTTTCTTCTTCTCCTTTTCTCCTTCTCCTCCTTCTGGATGGAGACCCAGACACCATGTATTGAGGCAGCCCAAACTACCCGACGTGAAGAGACCATGTGGATAAGCCCATATGGATAACTGAGGCCCCCAGCTGACAGCCAACAACTACCAGACAGGTGAGTACACAGCTTTCAGATGATTCCACATCCAGACATTGTAGAGAAGAGACAAGCTGCCCTGACGTGCTCTGCTTGAAATTCTCATCCACAGTCTCTATGAACATAGTAAATGGTTGTTTTACTTCACTAAGTTTCAGGGTAATTCGTAATATAGCCGTAGTAACTGCAATACCATCTCAGGAATTATTGCCCTGTACTGCCTGTTGTTCAATGCTGAAAATAGTTGCCTTAAATATTTTGTCTTGTGTTATTTGTTTAGGAGAGCTAGCCACCAAGCCAGGACTTTAATCTGAAGCCCTGTTCTCTAAAATAATGATAAAGATTCTAACAACACTGAGAGCAACTTTCTTTTACAGACTGCTTTGTATATACTAGGCACTGTGCTGATGTTAATGAAACCACACAATAATCTTGTGAAATAGGCATTATCAACCCTCATTGTATAGATAAGAAAACTGAGGTTCATAGAGGTTTAACCTAAGATTTGTACACAGATCTGTCTGATGCTGAAGCCCATGCAATTGACCATATACAGAAACACATATAGACACACACATACACACACACACACACACACACACACACTTTGTATATACAGGGGATGCCCAAAAAATGTAGATAAATTTTAAGAAAGGAAAACTGTATTAAAATTGTAATACTCAATATATACCAATAACAAAAGACTAATACAAGTCACGTTTGACTTCTGCAATTACAAGAGGTGCTCAAAGTGGTTACCGTCAGCATCCAGACACTTCTGATTATGGTGAACTACTGCTTGAGCAACATTGACCAAAGTGTCCACTTGTATACATTTTTTGGCACCCCCAGTACATGCTTACGTATGTAGATGCATAGGCATATAGAGACACATGCACACCCATTACACATTTCCAGAGTTTCTTTTATGCTTTTAAATTATTTATTGTTGTCAGTGTTAAAAATCCCCTCCCCCCAGCTATGTTAAATAGACTAAAAGAGACTCAATCTGCTAAATATTTTATGTTTTCCAGGCACATCCTAAGATGAAATTCTCTCCATCTGGGGCCACCGCAGGCACGGGTGCAGAGGTAGTGTCTCTGTTCTCCTGCCAGGGATTGCCTGGGACCTGGACTTGGGAGGAGGTGGGGTGGGACCCTTAACAAAACTTGGCTTGGTAGACAGAAGCTTTCTCCTGGAGTCACAAGGATCCTGCGCTTTTAATATTCTAAATTTAGAGAAACAAAGCAATTCTCAAATGTGCAAAAGCAGAGAGCATTGAGCAAGAGACCAGTGCTTAGAAGGGGAGCGGGGAGGGAGTTTGAGAGAGGACCTCCTTGTTGAAGCAGGGTCATTCTCAGATATTCCAAAGCACTGATAGGAGCTGGTTGATTGATGGAAGGAAGGGTGATTCGGAGGGGGCCTTCCTCATTCTGCAGGTTTCCCCAATTCAGCCTGCCTTTTCTGGAGAAGGGGATTGGGAGGATGCTGAGAAGCTCTCAACTGGCAGTTTTAGAGCAGGTATGATGCTCTGAGGGGAGCAAGAGTCTCAGGGTAGAGCAATGGGCTCAGTAATTTAGAATTTATTCGCATCTCTTCTCCTTAGAATAGTGGAGACCCCAGTCCTATTCTTGAGAAGAGCTAAAAACACAGAGATGCTTCTTTGGGGAAGAAAGAAATGATACTGATGTAAAGTCACCTAAATCTAGAAAATAGATGCCCCAAGTCCACCCCCACTCCTACCTCAGTCCCCCCTTGTGCAACCTACAGCAAGCAGTTGAGCCCAAAGGAGGAAAATGAAATAGGAAATCTTCAAGGTTCATCTCCACTTCCCTGTCCCCTTTTCTGAGGTTCAGTCCAGAACACTGTTTAAAGCTCCTTAGAAGCAACTCTTTTTTTTTTTAGAAGCAATTCTGGAGAGTACATACATTACTCTCACCCATTTTATAGTTGAAGAAACTTGTTCTGAGCTTAGGAACTGACTTGCCCAAGCTGGTCAGCGGCAGCAACCCGCCCAGTTCTGTCACCGGTGTCCCAGCCCAGTCAGTGGTATTCTCTCCACCGCACCAATCTGGGGGCCTCCACAATGTCTGACACCCGGGGAGGGCCCGGGGCATCCGATTAATGAACTGCCAAGTGTCCCCAGATTAGGCGGTGAGGGGAAGTGGCTCCGTGACAAGCTGGGGCACAGGGACTCTCTGTCTCTCTCTCAACTCTTGCCTGCCTGGCCCATCTTGTCGTTCCCTCCTTCCCCTGGCTGGGAAAATGAATGCAGATCCGCGTGCCTGTGTGGTCCCAGCCCTGACGGGGGTGGGTGGGTGTGGGTGTGGGTGGAGAACGCTATCCCAGGCTCTTTGTGTGCAAGTGTGAAGGGTGCAGAGGGCAGCGGGAGGGTAACGCACATTGTCAGCTCAGATGGGACCGGCTGGGTGGCCTGACGGTAAAATTCTGACCGGTGTTGAGCACGCGGACCTTCTCCTCCCCCACGCCCCCCTTACCTCTGCCTCCTTGCGCAGCTCCTGGCCTACGCGCTCCGCGAGCTGGGCGTCTAGGCCGGCCCATAGCAGCAGCTGCAGGGCGCGCAGCAGGAGGCCGACACGCGCGGCCATCTCGCCGGCGGTCTCTGCGGCGGAGCACGGGGCAGTGGGGAGCTTTGGCTAACCGGTAAGCCCGCCCGCAGTCGGCAGTGTCGGGGTCTCCGCGGACGCTCCAGCTTTGCGCCGTGCCAGTGGCCGGGCTCCGCGCGCTGGGCCGGTCCTCTGCAGCGCTTCTCTGGGAACCGGTCCAAGGTCGTCCAGCTCGCACAGTGCCTGCACAGTGGGTCACCGGCCCCCGGACTTAGAAGGCGAGGGAGGAAGGGAGGGAGCAGGGGGCGGGAGCCCGGCACTTCGGCCCCACCCACCCCACTCCATTGCCGCCGCCGCCCTGCGGACCTGTTCTCTGTTCTCTCGCCCGCCACCTCCAGTAGATCGTTTCTCCGGGAAGAAGGGTCTTCTGGTGGTTGTAGCCACTTAAGACTTCTATAAAAGGGTCAATTGATTGTTTCACCCAGGATAGCAGGGAGCAAGAGCCTGCCTGGGCTGTGAGAGAAAGCCCCGGGCTGGGTCAGAAGTGTTTGAGTTTGAGTTCCAGATCTACTTCTTTGCTAGCCTTGTGAATCTTGCCTCAACTACCTCTTGGCTGAGTAGTCTTGGGCAAGTCACTCACCCTCTCTGAACCTATTTTTCTGATCAGGAACCGGGGATAATAAGAATACCAATATCATGTCATTGTAGGGAGCGTTTAGTGAGAGAATAATGCCTGTAAGGAACTCAGCACCGCGCCTGGCATCATAAAGGACGCATTTAAATAAATACTAGCTGCAAGCTTTGTGACCTTTGGCAAAGGATTTAACCACTTTGAGCGTCAGTTTTCTCATCAATAAAATGAGAGCAAATGATATTTAGTTCCTAGCGTTGCATGAAGATTAAAAGAGAAAATGATTGTGAAGTGCCTGGCTTTACGGATCCCACACAGTCCTAGTAAAGGATCCCACACAGTCCTAGTAAAGGCGGAGTGAAACGATTTATGTGAAAGCCGTCGCAAAACTCACACTGAGCAAAAGTAAACCGTTTTCATTATCTGTCTTAGTAACTGTGCAGGTTACTATTGTCTGTCTTCTAGTCTCAATTTGCTAATCTGTAAAATGCAAATGGCACAGTGATACCCACCTCTGGGGGTTGTCATGTGGGTTAGATGAGTTGATGTATGTAAAAGTAGTTTGGAATCTATAAAGTGCTAAGCAAATGTAATGCAGTGTTCTTATCCTAAGGCTCAGGGCTTCAGAAGGTTTAGAAGCACACAGAAAGTTTTTTGTGTTACCGTATTTCCCCATGTATAGGACACACCCTTTTTTGAAAAATTTGGGCTCTAAAAACTGGGTGTGTCTTATACAGTGGTTGTAGATTTTTTTACTTGCATTTCCTGCTGAGAACGAGGCAATATATGAAGACAGTGATTCATCATCAGACATAGATGAGGACAAGCTAATGGTTGGGAGTTCTGACAGTGATGAGGAGTTGTATGAATTTTATGATGAATAAAACTTGAGTTCAATAACTTTATATAATACATTTTTTTTCAAATTGCGGGCCCCCAAATTAAGGTGCGTCTTATACATGGGAACGTCTTATACATGGGGAAATACGGTATTTAGATAACAGTGCCAGCCACTCTGGTGGAGGAATTTTTAAAAGGCTCTTTTATTAGCCAGCCTTCTGGGAAACAAGTGCTCCTGTGAGTGGAGTAATTGGAATAGGCCCTACCCACCTCCCAACAAACCAATGAAAAGGGGACACTCATTCTGGGCAAACCAATTAGAAACAGATGCTCCTCTGGCAGGCCAATGAGAAAAAGACCCCTTTCAATGGCACAGCCCTGTGCCAGGACTCTGCTGGGGGCATAGAGTTGAGGATGGATTTCTTTGCCCATCCATGCTCCCTCTCTGTGGGTGCCCTTATGCACATCTCTAAAAAGTGGATACCCCTGGAACGGAGCCCCAGAGATCGTGGACAGGGCCTGGGCCTTACCTTCAGAGACCTTTCAGTCTATTGGGGCAGACTTGACCAAAGTTTCTCAGCTAAGGATAGAACCGACTGACACAACTACAGGTTCATGCAAAGTCCTGTGGTGAGCCTGGAGGAGGGCGATTCTGAAGGGGTGTGGGGTAGGTTTGCTAGATTATTTATTTATTTATTTATTTATTTATTTATTTTTAATGAATGAATGAATTAATTTTTTTAGCTGAGCCATCCTGCCACCTGTTGGCAGCTCAGCAGCTGCTCAGCTTGGGCCAGGACTCAAACCGCTGTTGCTCAGAGCTCGCACTCTTGAGCAAGCTCTTAACCAACTGAGCCACTTGGCTGGCCCAGGGTTGCTAGATTTAGCAAATAAAAATACAGGATATCCAGTTAAACTTGAGTATCAGATTAACAACGAGTAATTTTTTTTATTAAGATTTTATTGGGGGAATTGGAGGAGGGGAACAGCGTTGAGGAATAGGGAAGGGGAACAGACAAGTTGCTGTCCTTTTGTTCTTCAATCTAGTTGTAGAGGACGGCGCTTCACTGGCCCATGTTGGTATTATCATTGCTCTCTTCCTGGGTGAGGCAGTCGCCTGCAGGCCATTGAATGGCCACTCTCGGCGGCTCACGGCAACACACACCAGCTGCAGCCACTCACGCTGGCTGCCAGCCACTCACGGTAGCTCATGGCAGCCCACTGCAGCCCCACTGTAGCCTATGCCGTCACAGGCGACTCCCAGCAGCCCAGCTTCATGTTGAGCTGTTGTTATCATCTTAGCTGTAGAGGGCTCAGCATCACTGGCCCTCATATGGGATCCGAACCAGGGCCCTGCTGCTTAGAGTTGGTGTCCCAAGCCAACTCTTAACCAATGTGCCACTCAGCCGGCCCACAACAAGTAATTTTTTAGGATTAGCATGTGCCAATGCAATATTTGGGACAAACTTATACTAAAAAAATATTTAGCATTAATCTGAAATTCAAATTTAACTTGGTGTCCTCTATTTTATCTGGCAACCCTAGTGTGTGTGTGTGTGTGTGTGTGTGTGTGTGTGTGAGTGTGTGTTGGGAGAGGGAGTCAGAAGGTTGCAGGTATGACATGGTATATGGTGTCCTTGACCAACAGGTGGATTTTGATAGGCCAGATACAACTCTGCTTTGGGGCAGGAAATTCTGAGGTACAGTAAAGACACTGTAGGCCAAGCTGGAATCAAACCAGGATTTGCCAATTTTTTCTTCAGGAAGAATTTCTCCATCCCTTCCTCCAGCACATCCCATGGATTCTCCATTTCAGCTGCACTGGGAGGAGAGGGGAAGGCAGGAAACAATGGTTCTTTGGAGGGTTGAGTGACTGGGAGGAGACTGGACTGGCTCGGCCGCTCAGAGAGCTGACTCTGCCTTTCTCCCAGGGGAGCCCTGGTCCTTGGTTCTCAAAAACTAGCACCACTGCTGTTTGAAAGTTGACTTCCTGTGCTTTCCTTTTGTGTCCTTGGTTGAATTACTTCATCCCATCCTTACCTCTCCCCATTCCACCTGCTTATGGTCACTTGGAGATGCCATCTAGACTTGGAAGTGCCTGCAAGAATTCATGCAGGACAGAGCTTCCTTTGCCCACACACTCATCCTGGGCTTCAAGCAGGCCTTTGCATAGGATGTCGCTGTTTCCCAGGAAGACAGCATGTTTCCATGGTTAAAGCCTGGGAAGCAGAAGCTTCAGTTCCCTTCTGCCTCTGAAGCTTACTCCTAAGTCCCAGAGCACCAAATTCTGTGATCTTCTGCAGGAATCCAGGTGCCTACAGGACTCCACAACAGACTTCCTGTTTGTTTTTACTTTCCAGGACACATCTGGAGCCAAACAGCTTTCAATGGGGTGGAGAAGGAGGGCAGCATGCCATGTAAGAGAGGAACTGAGGAGGAAAGGAAGATGAGAAAGGCAAAGGGGTTTATTGGAAGAAGCTCAGTCCACAGCCAGGGTATCAGAAGAGTGATGGGAGGAGAATGGCTTTGGAGTAGGGATTCTCAAAGCACAGTCCGAATATCACCCACAGTGAAAATACTGTGGTGACAAATTGCTATATCCAATACCATTATTTCTTCCTCTGGTGGGAGTGGGGTTAGGGATGGCAATGAGGACTTGAAAAAAAATAATAATGGTAAATACTTGTTCAGAAATTAACACGTGTTGTGTATGTGCTGTAGCTTTACATAAATCACGTCACTGAATATTTGCAGCTTCCCTATGAGAAAGCTACTATTATAAGCATTCTTATCTTTAAGATGAAGAAATTGAGGCACAGAGAAAGAATACTTGTCCAAAGTTACAAATCTAGTAATGGAGCCAGGGTTCAAACCCGGAATATAAGGCCAGATCTTGGGCCCTTCAACTCTACACTATCTTGCCTCAAGTCAAATTTATACAATGTGGGCCGGCCCAGTGGCACATTGGTTAAGAGCTGGCTTGGGAAGCCAACTCTGAGCAGCAGGACCCTGGTTGGGATCCCACATTAGGGCCAGTGACACTGCCCTCTACAGCTAAGATGGTGAACAACAGCTCAACCTGGAGCTGGGCTGCTGTGAGTCACCTACAACCGCGTAGGCTGCAGCCCCTGCTGCAGTGGCTGCCATAAGCTACTGTGTGTGGCTGGCAGCCAGCGTGAGCGGCTGGCAGCTGGTGTGAGCTGCCAAGAGCCGCTGTGAGCGGCCGTCCAGAAGCCGGCGACTGATCTGCCTCGCCTGGGAAGAGCGCAATGATAATACCAACTTGGGCCAGTGAAGCAACGTCCTCCACAACTAGACTGAAGACCAAAACGACAGCAACTTGTCTGTTCCTCTTCCCCCAATTCCCCAGCGCTGTTCCCCTCCTCCAATTCCCCAATAAAATCTTAAAAAAAAAAAAATTTATACAATGTGATTCTTGGATCACCTGCATTGAATCACCTGGAGACTTTCAAATTCAGATTTCAAAGTCCTACTCTAGACCTACTTAATCAGTACATACTAGATACCAATGTTTAAGAGGAAGAAAGCGCTAGGTTTTCCAAGGGTCTGGCTCTTCCCTTCCCTCTCTCTCTATCTTGACTGGGCAGGCTCCTGACCCAGCTAGGCTGGCAGTCCTCTCCATACTTCCTCTTCAAAGAGAGCTGCTTCCCCACCCTCCCTCTCTCTGCACCCGGCTTGGTTCAAATCCACAAGGCCTCCCAGCCCTCCCAGAGTGGACAGGACTTCTGTGGAACTCATGCCAGGGCTTGAGCATGTTGCCTGCCCAGGATAGCAGCTGCCCAGGCCATTCCTTCTTCTCTGACAGAAGGCAATAGCTGGCCCGTGAGTCGTCTTCCTGACCAGGACCCCTTGAATCAGGCAGGATGTGTGGACCTGGACAAGGCCCCTCTGGGCCTCAGTTTCTCTCTTCATAATACGAGAAACAATCAGCTTTGTCTCTGCCCCTTCCTCCTCTCCAGGAAGTGTGCAGAACACAAAGCAGATTTTTATCAGAAGGCATGCTGGGCTCCGGAGAAAAGCACTAATGGAACGATCAACCTCCAAAAAACGACAATAAGAATAAGAAGAGGAATAATGAGGGCATGAGATTAGCTTGGGAGAGCTGAAAGGAGGCTTTCCCCAGAGTTGTGAGAATTATAACTGTGATAATTTGGATACATGATTGGCCATAACCTCTGGGCATTTTTAGCTGTGATTCAATTCTAGAAGCTGTGACTTTCTAGCCATTGCTTCTGCCTCTGGAAGAGAAATTTCCTCTCTCCAGCACATGTGGACATGTCTCATCAGTTTGGGTCACATTCACAAGTATACCTACCTATCTCCCTCCTTTTATGCACACATGCATATGCTCATATGGGATTGGAAAAAGCAAGAAATTTGGAGCAAGGCAGACCTGGGTTTGAATCTTGATTTTTTTTTGTCACACTCTGTTGAAACTTGCAAGTCAACTAACCACTCTGAGTTTCTGGCATTTTAAATCGGGATAACAATAATTCCTGTCTTTTCTAGTACCCCAATTTGCTATGGGGAGCAAGCTAGACCATTAATAAATGGTAAATCCTATCAAGGGCTGGACATTGGGTGCACCGACACAAGCGAATACACATGTATTCTTCACACAGGTTCACGCCCTAGTGCGTTTACATCCAGATGACATACACAAGCCTGCTCCAGGACAATCACATGAGCACCTCCTTGCCAGGCAGTGCTCTTTGGCTCAGAGCCGTCCCATCTCCCCTAACCCTCATCATGGTTGGCAGAACCGTCAGCCTCTTTTGGTTTGTTTTTTACTCACACCAGGACCCAGGGGACTTACAAAGAGCACAATAAAAGCCTGGCTGATCTGGCACTGTGCCCCACTTCCCTTCCACATAAAGGTTATCTAACTGCCAGGCATCTGGCCTGAAAGGCTGGGCCAGGACCTGCTCGGCATCTGCTGCTTTGCTTAAAAGACCTGCTAACAGGAAATTGTCTGGTTCCTTTCTACCCCAAACAGGAAGTGCCTACCCAGAGAATGGGATAGCCTGGTCATTTACAAGGAGCCTTCCCCTCCCAAAGTAGAACCTCAGGGTAATCTTCATGGGAGGCTTGCTCTCTAGGAAGCCTGGAGGAGTGGGGCTCCAAGGGGGATGCCTCTCAGTGGGTTGCGGGGCGGGTGGTGATGATGGCTACTGCTGCCCGTGGCACCTGGCACACAGCAGGCCATCATTCTTTCAACAAACACTCACGGAACACATAGGAAAGTCCTAGATAAGGTCTTTGAGTTTGAGGAGTTTACAGACAAGAGAGACAAGTCTTGCTGGTTTTTTTCCTCCTATTTATTCATTCATTAAATACAAGGTTTTTCTTTTTTAGAGCCTACTGTTTCAGGCACTGTGTGAGGAGGCATTGAGGGGTTCAGAGATGAACTATGCAACCCAACTAGAGAACAAATCGGCCTCCAATCAGGTAGGCAAGCCTTGAATTATAGAGTACAACTGTGAGTCCCACAGGATTTCAAAAGGGGCAAAAGATCATTATGATCAGATTTTTACTCTGGGAGGAGCAATAACCTTTCTCTGCTTCTTCTTTTGCCTCCTATACTCTATTCTCAAGCCCGGAGCCAGGGTAATCCTGGTAAGACAGGTCAGTTTCTGCAGGACCTCTGCTAAATGGCTCTCTCTCATGGTTTCCCCTCTCACTCTAAGTCCATTCACAGCTCTTCAGGGTTCTATAAGGCCTTACACCAGTGGTGGAAGGGCTGGGAAGCCAAACAGCGAATGGAGGCAACTTAGAAACGATCACTAGTGAGTGTTAAAGAACAAAATTTAACTGAGTAAATTTGATGATCGAATTGGCTTCATTAAGCAATTCATGAATCACTAGAAGGGCTCCAATGAGTTGTGCAAAATGGAAGGTTTTTATAGGAAGAAAGAGGGTGGAACTAAATTAAGATTGATTATTTCAGGCAAAGACACCTTCCCTTAGGGAAAGGCAGGGGGTCTTATAAGTGAGGCAGATTACCTCACTGTGGGGATCAGGAAATTCCAGACTTATTGGTTTAAAATTCCACTCCTGGGAGAGGCTGAAACTGCCTTAGGTTAGTTATTAAGTTTTGGTTTGGTGACTTGGCTTAGCAAAAGTGACTATATTTTGGATCTCTCTCTCTCTCTCTCTCTCTGTCTCTCTTTCTTTCTCTCTCCCTCTAATAGCTAGAAGCCTCCATCAGCCATAGGCTGGAGGAGTGAAGGGAGGAATGGGATTTCTGGAACCCAGGAGCCAGGGTCACTGATGTGGAAACTGGAGCTCTGGAGAAGACAGCTGTGCCTGAGCCTGCCCCACGGCAGAGAGGGATAGGGAGAAATAACCCTTACTCCACTTTTTCTTCTCCCAGCTAATTTCCCAGCAGGGCACCCATTGGCTGATACTAGTTGGAAGCTACTGCCTGAAGGAATCTCTGAAAGTGAATTGCAGCCTGCAGTCAGCTCCCCTAGTGAGGACTTGAGGATCAAGGGCAAACAGCCTCAGTACCATGACCTCTTCAGATACATTCTGCTAAAGTTGATGTGTAAAATGTATCTGCTGTCTTCCCTAAATATGCCAGGATAATGGGGGTAGAAGGAGCAGGATCTTGTAGCGTGAAAAATGACTGGGTGGGGTGGCTGGCTATCTCAGTTGGTTAGAGCGCAGTGCTCATAACACTGTGGGCAGAAAAGGGGCCACATGTTATACGTGACAAGCTCTGGAGACTGAAAAATAACCACAGAGGATGGTATGAACATAAAAACTCTTAACTAAGGTGGGCCACATGGGAAGTCACATCTTTAGCTTCCTCATTAAGTTAATTTGCGTTTTCAGTGGGCCTGTTCTTTGTCTTGCTGTACCTAAGATAACATCTTTAATCCTTTTTTCCAGACCAGAGCTGAAAACAGCAAAATTCCTCATTATTATGCTTATTTCCTGATTACCATCTCTATGTGCTGTAAAGAGTGAACTGTTAGCTATACTGCACCCACCTGTGTGGGAGGAGGACCTGTCTCTCCAATGTCCTTTTATCCAATCCCAAGGATTTCCCCGCTTTGCTTTCTCCCACCTCCTTCATCTATCACCAGTGGATTTCATGTAACCTTGCTCCTTTGATTTTATGTATAAAATAAACTGCAAACTGCCATTTTGAGGAGCATTTTCTCAATCCCGGCTTTTGCTTCCCGGCAATTGTTGACAGTTTGGCTTAAATAAACTCTTATAAGTTTTCTCTTAGGCTGGATATTTTTCATCAACAACACCAAGGTTGGCGGTTCAATCCCTGCATGGACCCCTGAGCTGTGCCCTCCACAACTAGACTGAAACAACTACTTGACTTGGAGCTGATGGGTCCTGGGAAAACACACTGTTCCTCAATAAAATTTATTAAAAAAAAAAAAAAAAGAAAGAAAGGAATGACTCAGTGAAGCCTATTTCAGGTAATCATCCCCAGGCAAAAGCCTAGAAGACAGAAGGGCACAGGAGACAATGTGTGAGTCCTTTTGTGGCAGAGCAGGACCCTTGGAAAGAAGCCCCAGAGCAATGCAGACCTAGCAGGAGTTCCCTTTTTCATGTTTGGGAGACCAGGGATACTGTATAAAGAACACTGGGCTTGGTCCAAAGGCCTGGGTTTGAGCTCTGCTTTTGTCCTTAATAGGCCGTGTGAACTTGGTAAAGAATTTCATCTTCCTGAGCTTCAGTGTTCTCATCTACAAAATGTGGATAAAGCAATACGTATTTCACAGGGCATCCAGAGGATTAAAAGAGATAATGGACATAGAAAATTAAATGTCAGTCCATTGATCCGATTCCTCAGAAGCTCCCCATGGTTTTAAATTTAATATCCAAATTCCTCTGCAAGGCACACGAGGCTCTTCAAGCTGTGGCTTCTGCCTACTTCTTTCACTTCATTTATCACCACTCCCCACTCCTGCAACTCTACAGATCAGCCAGACTAACCCACTTGCAAGTCCCAGAACTTGGCTCTCTCCCGGTTTTTGCAAATGCAGCCCTAGCCCTTTGTTTTATACCATGCTGTTCCTGATATACACCTCACTTCCTGGCTAATTCCTGTTCTTTCTTCAAAGCTCAGTTTAGGAGGCATCTCCTGCAGGAAACCGTCCATAATATGGGCTCCACCCTTCGTGTAGTCTAGATGCTCATCTTTGTGTTTTCAGAGCACCCTCTGCATCCTCCAATTCTAGCATGTTTAGCTAGAATCACAGGTTTGTACTGTCCCTGCTATGAGATTGCAGTTCCTGGAGGGCAGGGCTGTGGTGCTTCCTATTTCTCTATCTCCAGAGCCTTCCAGGGCCTGACACCTAGTAGACCTCAGGAGATGGCAGTTGAGTGAAAAATGCATGCATGAATGAATGGATGCATGGTGGTACAAGCTTAAGGAGGCAACGGTGAGCAATACGTTCTATGTTCCTGTCTTTAAAAAAAAAAAATCCCAATTCTAAAAAAAAAATTAAGAACAATCTAGAAGTCTTTCCTCCCCAGTAACCCAGTTCCTTCCTGCTATTGCACATGCCCTTCTCCTCTGGTTGCCTTCCTCAATATATAAGCTGAACAGCTAAATTGTTTTTAGTCACGCAAGAATTTTTATTCCTTTAGCCTTACTTGTTTGGACCTGTTTAGGGAGCTCTGTGACCCTCTACATCCAGAGTTGAAGGCACAGTTACTGCTGGTACAATGAAGAGAGATGACCTCATGCCTTTTTTCTAACCTGAAGGCATTCATTCTGGATGTACCGCTCCATCTCCACCCCAACCTGCTCCTCCTCCTCCTATATTCCCTATCACAGTGAATGACACCACCATCTATCTGTCCACTTGTCTAAGTGGGAATCCCAGAATTTACCCCAGACTTCTCTCTCTTTGCTAGTCTCTCCCACCCAAATTGGTCACCAGGTCTTGCTCAACCTACCACCTAAGTTATCTCAGGGATCTCTTTGCTTACCTCCATCTCCATAGCTACAACCTAAGTCCAGGCGACTATGAGCTCTTACCAGAATGATAGTACTGGCCACCTATTAATAATTGGTCTCCCTGTTATAGGCATCTTCCATCTCTATACATTCTTAGTACCACAGCTTGAAAATGCAAATCTGATCTTTTAAAATCCTTCCATGAGGGGTTTCCACTGCCTTCAAGATAAAGTAGACTCTAATGTACTTTACAAGGTCTGAGCTACTTATCTGGCCTCATCTCTTACCATTCTCTCCTGGCAGATAAACTTTAAACATTGAATTACTTGTTTTGCAACTAATCTAAAGCACTTTTCTCCACTTCTTCACTTGGTCAACTTCTTCTCACCACCTACGGTTTGCCTCAGATGTCACCTTGCCCTCAGGGAAAAGGTCCTTGTGTGCTCTCTGAGCGGTCAGTTGTCTCACAATCTAGAACTCTAGCTCCCTCTCCCTTGGGTGGTGACCCCTTTGGGGGTCGAACGACCCTTTCACAGGGGTCGCCTAAGACCATCGGAAAACAAAAAGATATTTACATTACGATTCATAACAGTAGCAAAATTACAGTTATAGAGTAGCAATGAAAATAATTTTATGGTTGGGGGTCCCCACAACATGAGGAACTGTATTAAGGGGTTGCAGCATTAGGAAGGCTGAGAACCGCTGCGCAGTAAAGTGTAATGGTTAAACCCACAGGCAGCGGTATCTGGTTACCAGGATTCGAATTCCACGTCAGCCATTTACTAGCTGTGCGACCTAGAACAGATGAATTCTGCCTTCTCTGTAACGCGGGTATAACATTTCATCAACCTGTGAGAATTAAATGAGATGATGTAAGGTACAGCGCAGAAAACTAAAGCTCTACACCCCATCCCGCCTCATCTTTAGAGTCCGGTCTGTGTGTGATTGTGATTTCGTTTTAATGTACACGAATGTTCTATTATCACCTTGTAGTTTATTTTTTACTTGACAAGGTAGTTTTAACACACCAGGAGATCAGGTACCTGAGGTCCTCACGACTTTGCGTCGCCGAGCTCCTCGACTCCGAACGCCCCCCGGTGGCTCAAGCTGTCTGCAGCCCCAGCGGACCGAACTAGGGCATACCATTTGAAACTTTAGGGGAAGAAAGACCATTTCTAACCAAATAGTATGTTTATAAATTCTCTTTTTCGCTTCCTAACCTCAAATTCTATCAGACCCAATAAAGTGTGAAATAGGATTGTAATTAGGACGCAGAGAGCAGGTTCAGGTTCCTCCCCCAGGCTGATCGCGGCATTGGTACTTTCTCTTCTCGGTTCCCTCTCAATAATGGTACCGTTCGCGGAGGGGAGAACAGAGAGGGATTCCGAAGGCCTCAGGGTTAGGGGGCCGGTACTAGTACAAAACCACCCCTCCTGCCGTGACGCTATGGTACCGCCCACCGCCCTCTGATTGGCTACCGAGGCCCCGCAGTCGGGCTCAGCAAGCCGCGCCGACCTCAGTACAGCTTCGGCCGCTGTGCCGCCTGGCTCTGGTATTCCTTGTTCTCGGCGGGTTGTAGGGGCTCTGCGCTCCGGCCGTTAGTCATGTCGGGTAGGTGATTATTTCAGCGAGCAACGGCAGCGGCGAGAAGGGGCCTGGAGGGGTTGGGCCGTTTTCCCGCCCACTGGAAGGCCCCAAGGGAAAGGCTCCGGCCCTGAGGGGAGGCTGGGGGTGGGGAGGGGGGAACGGACGCGGCCTCCGCCATGTTGGACTGGAGGGACGCACGCTCCCAACGCTCTGTGTCTACAAATCACGGCGGGAGCGCTTCATGCCCCGGCTTTTGGTCCTGTCCTTGGAACCTGAGGCGACGTGCGGCTCTCGAGGGAGGGTGTGTGAGTCGGGGGGGGGGCAGAGGCCGTCTACGCCATCACAGGGGCGGGGGGATCCCGTGATTAGAGTATCAGTCTGAGAGAATCGGTGCTTCTGGTTCTCCGCTCCGCCTCAGATCTTTCAGCGAGGCCTCGGGCCAGTCATCTCGCCGCCTTGTACCTCAGTTTCCCCATCCATGAAGTGGAACTGGGCCTTCTGACTCACCCATTCATCAGGTGGGGGCCGTGACGCTCTGGGAGCTCTTTCAAAAGGACGTTGCCTTCCACGAAATCCTACTTATCGGCATTCCCTCTCGTAACTACCTGAATTCCAGTTGGGGGAGGGGGGTGGTGTTTGCATATAATTCAGCTTCCTCTTCACCCATCTTTGTCATTCTCTCCTCATCAGTTTTTTTATCTCCTGCAAGAGCTTGAAAACGAGCCTTTTCTATTATCGACAGCCTCCTGTAGGTACATATGGCGTTTACCTTACAACATACAGACCAAAGAAAGGCAGTCTAAATGCAAAGCACTTAAATTGATAGAGGCCTCCCCCCCCCCCCCATTGTGTGGAAGAGAAAAAGCAGCATTGGTCTCCTTAGGACAGCCAGTTTAGATCCTGCTAACCCAGAATATAAAGTCTGAAACATGGGTGTTCTGATAATAGCAGTCCTAGCTGACGATGCAAAGCCCTCTGTTGTTGGGTACATCACAGGCTGCAAAGACCCAGCTCTCCACTTGCCAGAATCCATGAGAGTTACATATCACTTTTCAGGTGGAAAAACGGAACATTTCCTTAAAGCCATATGGTTGGGATGAAAATGACTGCCGACAGACAGTCGCACATTTATTTAAATACCTGTTGGTATTGAAAACAAGAAATTTCTTACCCCAAAGGAGATGTTGGTACTTCATTTACCAGGTGCATAATTTGAAATGAAGTCTGGTAAAACTCCACAAAAGTACATAGAAGTACACCGTGAGGAGGGGGTGTATCTCACCCATGTTTAAAAAAAGAAAAAGATTCTCCCATCCTCATGATGAAATTTACCAGCTTTCAGTGAATACAGTGCTTATTAAACACTTGGCCTGTCTTGATAGTTAACATAATTGTTATAAAATAATGGCTTAATTTTATGGGACTAGGTAACTTTTATGGAAAATTAAATTTTAGAGGTTTACCATGTAAAGTCCAGAATTTTCAGTGTGTGAGCCCGTTTACCCATTTAAACTGATCTTTACCAAGACCCCAGATGTTTATCACTTTGTAATTTGAGTTTTTTTATAAGTTGGCTTTCGTGTGTAAAAAGAACGATTTAATAATTGCCAGTTACTAAATTAAAGCTAGAACCTTTAAGTTCTATTTAATGTTATCTATACATTTGTAACATATAAAAATGATATTTTTGATTTTTGTATAAAAATATGAGTAATGCTTTTGACTTACTCTTTTTTTTTTTTTAGCTGAGCCATCCTGCTACCTGTTGGCAGCTCAGCGGCTGCTCAGCTCGGGCNGAACCGCTGTTGCTCAGAGCTCAAACTCTTGAGTGAGCTCTTAACCAACTGAGCCACTCGGCCGGCCCCTACTTACTCTTTGATGAACGTTTAATAAATTTAACAGTAAACTCCCCCCTAAACCACTAATGACATTAAGTTTCTTTAAGTCCTTTAAACATTCCAGACTACACCTATAAGTTTAATTTATCAAATTGACTCAACCACTCCAGATGCCTGACAAACCTAAGAACATATAAGCACTTACATAATCAGTAAATCAAAATTGTAAGTATTGTCAGACTCAGACATTCAGATACTATTTACACATGTGAATTATCTGACACCTTTCAAGTATAAATCTAATATCAATTATACATATAAAAATTAAAGTAAAAATACTTCTAATTTTGGCTATATGGCAGACCAAGATAACTTGAAAATTCTCTGTAGTTTTACAAACACCTAAAAATTCAAGAACTCACAAAAACATAAAAGGCAAGCCCCAGCTGCCAGAAATCAAGTAGAAGTTAGTATGGTAGGCACAGAGCTAACTTGGTTGCCCTAGAGAGGAGGGTATAGATTTCATCATTTAGAAACTTGGATTTTATTACCCAAGTAACTAAAACTAAGGACAGGAGATGAAACCTTGACCATTAGAGTAATGGGAACTGAGACCCTTACATAAGACCTGGATGTTTGAAGGATTATCTTCTGTGAAAGAATAAACTAGAAAAAATGCGTACCAGCGTAAGAGAGAATAAGGACGCCTAGGCCCTGAATGCCTTGGGGGGGGGGGGGAATGTCCTGAGAATTCATAACCTGGAACCTGTGCTTCATAGGATTAGGGTGTACATTTAGGCTAGTTATGGGGTCCAAGAAACTTGAGCCAAGAAATTAACATAATTGGTTCTGGGTTGGTAAAAACCTTGGTTTCCTGGTAGAAACAAATGAAAAACGTTTTCTGCAGGAAATTTCATGACCCAGGTCACAGAAATCTTATAGAAAAAACATGCCTTGGAAAAGATGAGGTCACAGTAAAAAATTGCAGAACTCTAGGAAACGGTTCACCAAAATGAGAGTGTCAAGTGGGATTAGAACCCCTAATAAAAAATGTGAAAGTGAATATTATATGTTTAAAATTATTAAAAACCTAAAACGAATGAACTTTCAGATCAAGGTGTTGTGAAAAAAGGCCACATAGATTTGAAAAATAACCAACTATAACTTCTAGAAAATGGAAAAAGTGGATAAATTGAATGCAGATAGGCCTAGTTGAAGAAATAATTAGTGAAGTGAAAGATGTGATATAATTACCCAGAATTCAATTCAGAAGGATAAAGAGATGAAAAATGAAAGATTAAGAAACATGGGAAATCCGAGTTTGAGAAGAAAATGGGGGAATTAATAGTTAATATATTTTCCAAAATTCATGAATTTTTTTGAATCAAGCAATTTCAAATACATAAAAATCACTTCATACCTAGATACATTAATACAAAACTGCAGATTGAAATATCAATAACAAACCTACCAGAGGGGAAAGGAAATGGTAAGATTGATATTTAAAAGTTTTAAGATGCCAGAAAATAGTAAAATGATTTTTGGAATTGAGAGGAAAAATAGCTGTTGACCTTGAGATTTTTACTCAAAAAGACTAAGACTGCCACTTTGAGGTCTTTGCTGAAAGAACTAATAAGTTAAACACAGAAGGGAGGAGGAGGATGAAAAAAAGCAACGTAGAGGAGGCAAACAGTAAATAAAAAGCAAATGCTGACCGAAACATTGAAAATTAAAGTGAGTACATTTAGAGATTTAAAAAAAGTAGAAGCAAAAGGATGGGAAAATGGAGCAAAATAATAGGTGAAGGCTGATTGGCATGTTTATTAGGGTTTTTCTAGTGGAGGTTGAAGATCGCTTTGAACTTTGTCAAGAATGCATGTTAAAAATTGAACAATTAAATTATGAATGGTAACTTACTAAAAACAGAAATTGAATATCACTTGTAAAGCAGTAGAAGGAAAAGCAATAAAAATCCAATAGGAGGCAGGAAAGGAGTTTAAAGGAAAAAGGGATCCTGGTCAGTGGAAAGTTCAATAGAGGCAAGTAGAGATAAATAAAAAAACAATAGTAAAAGTACAAAAACACCAACTTAAAGACATTTTCACATTGGGAAAAAAATGATCTAGCTATGTGCTGTTCAGAAGTATACCTAAAACATGAGAATAAATGTTGAAAATACATAGAGGGAAAACACCAACCAGAAGGAATATTATTACAAGTCAGAACAAAGTGGACATTTTGAATGATAGTATTTATGTAATGTTAAAAGGAAATTCACCAGGAAGATCTAAATCTACTTTTATGTGCCTAACATAACATCAAAGTATAGAAAGCAAAAAAACAAAATAAACCAGCCTAGTCAATTAGAGCTTTTGAACCATACCTCTCTAATTAATAGGTCATGCAGACCAAACATTAATAAGAATGTGAATGATGCAACTAACAAGTATCCTATAGACTTCACAGAATTCATTCAACATTTAGAAAATTCACAGTTCTCTTCAAGCACTTATGGGACATTAACACAAAATATTTACCAAGGGGCAAAAGCAAAAAACAGCAAATCCTAACAAATATCAGGAATGATACAGAAAATACTTTTTCTGGCTATAGTGGAATATAATTAGAAGACAGAGAATCAAAACCTTATACACTTGGAAATAAAAACACTTCTAAGTAATTCATGGGTCCAGACACTAGGCTCAAGTGTCAAGTACTCATAATGAGCAGTTTGGCATGCCCTAAATAACAAAATGATTTTCTCTGAATATAAAACATCTGCACTTTCTCAAGTATTATATACTAAGTGTCAGACTTATTGGTTAATATGCTTATTTCTATGTCTTCTGCTGTTGTAAAGTCAGCCAACTAAAATCAAATTGACAGTTTCAGAAGGGTGAAGTGACTGGGTTACAGTTAAGGACTCTTAATACTTTAGAGTTGAGCCAGTCACATGACCTATGTCGTGTATTTCTATAATTTTACCTGAGGGATGTACACAAGAATGTGGATCCCCCTTGTCACTGGGAGGATCCACATTCATGCCTGCTGAACCCTCCCCATAATGCTTTTTCAGTTTCTGATTTGGTTGAAGCTAATTTCCTTCCCCATTTGATAGATGCATCTAATCCCTATGGTCCAGTTAGATTCTGTACCCTTTTCATATATTTTTTAATTTGGTTGTTAGCTGTAAATCTATAGTCATTTTATCATGGGCATGGCAGTGATGAACATTTTTTTCTTTTTCATCTAAGGTAGCCTTATGCCCTTCACATTCAAAGAAGTATTTTGTGTCAGCATTGCATTCAGTAATTCTTATAATTAAGGATTTAAAAAAAGTAATTTTGTTCAGTCTGGTTGGAGATCTGTATTGCAGAAAAGTGGCAAATTTGATGTCACCTACTTATACAGCCAGTGGCAGTGTTTTCATATTGTAGCTTAATATGAATTGAATGAAAAAGTCACTGATTTGATTTGATTTTTGGTGGGTTTTTAGAACTGTCCAACAACAAATGGTTTTGTTTCATATTGGATGAGGTTGGGCCTCATGGTCAGCAGTTTGAGACTCCGTCATTTTTTGCATTTAAAAGTATTTCATATAGTATTACTCTTCTCTTATTCATCACTAATAAACTTAGGTCATTCATTTGACTGAGTAGAACCCTAAAGGATAGAGCCTATTCAAAAAATTTTGATGCGACATTTTGAACTATTGAGAAAGCTTGTAGTTCAATTTTTTTTCTTCTGTTTTTGACATCATTACTCAATTCATGCCTGCCTTGGTAGTTTTTTTTGCCAAATAGGAAGCTAGAAGTAGGTGTCACTGAGTTGGTATATCAATTGGCCAAGACGGAAAGCTTGGAAAAGTTGGGCTTAAACAACTAACAGCTGCTTTACCGCTGTCTTCACAGATCTTTTTGTTGCTGCTGACAGCCAAAGCAATCCAGTACCAGGGAATGGCGTAGGTGTTGGGTTGGGGATGATATATATGCAAGTAAATGTAATCCTGGGGATTTATCTTGTCATTGTGTGTCTTCCCCCTTTTTGGTTCTGATTAGGTTTAACAGATGTCTTTTTGTATATAAAGATAATATAGCTTGAGCTTTTGATTTTTGTTAAAAGGGTGTGTTTTTCACTGATCATTTCACATTTGTTCATTTGGTTCTCCTGACCATCAGGACAGTTGTAGAGTAGTTGTTTTCAAAGATGCAGTTACTATAAACAGCAAATACTATTTGTACAGATTCTCCTTGCACAGTATTTTTAACTTCTAGTTTTTCTTTCTGTAGTTCCTTTTTATGACATTTTAAAATTACATTTCATCTGTAAGATCTAAAGTCAGCCTTTGAGGGAAGCATAATTTTAAATCAGATTTAAAATTCTTTTTATGTGTTTTAGATTCTGGAAGTTACGGTCAGTCTGGGGGTGAGCAGCAAAGGTAAAGTACACATACATTTTAATAATACCATGAAAAAGTAGAACTGGGAAAAAAAGATGAATTTAGTTAGGCTTCCCTCTTGAGATTTGGTATCTGGATGTCTTAAGAGAGTTAAATATTAGCTTGGCAAGGGGAAAGAGTTGGCCTGTGTAAATAGGTGCTATAAAACATTTCTTCCTTTTTTTAAAAAACTGTTTTAATTAGTAAATATAGGTACCCTGTAGAGAGTAAAACAAATCTCATAGGTATTATAAAGATGATTTCCTTTGGGACGTTTTTTTAAAAGACAATTATTAAAAGGATTTAAGCAATTCAACTATTAATAGGTTCATGGAAAAAGCATTTCATTTTTTTGTACGTAATATGCTAATATGGTTTTTTTTGGTAACAGATTTTCTAGAAGCACTGTAATAGAAACGTGTAGCATTTAAGAAAAAACTCCTTACCATGCTCACAATAAAAATAAAAGTGTTTTTATGTGAATGTTTACATGCAGTAGAGTTCTCTCGCTTACCAGAAATACAGCCGTCAACTTAAAATATTTTGCAACTCAATGTGAGATATTCAGAATAGCATCTCAGATATCTTCTGTTATCAAGTTTTAAGGTTCATGAAAACTGATTTGACATTTTTATTCTCATAGGATAGTGCTAATCTCATAGTACTAACCATAGAAGGCAACTAGCAAATGTTTATTCAGCAAAATAGATTTTATAAAGTTAAATTCTGTTAGTACTTGATAGCTCTAAAATGATAAAAATATTTTTTTGCAAATGTATTTTTCTTTGGCATATTTTCAGGAAGTTTGTTTCTGACTTGTTAGAGTTTACATTGCTCTAAAATTAAAGCAAATTCAAATCTGAAGAAGGTACATTTATTCAGTCAAACCATGTCAGGCTGTGCTATGACCCTGGGGATACAAAATAATTTCATTCTATGATAGTACTCTGAAGATACACATGCCTCTAATTACTGAGGCACAAAAATTGGAATTTGAATGCCACCCTGCCTTTTCTAGGAAGTTAAAAGCAGATTTAAGGCAAATGGTAGGAAGAAATTAATCTGTCAAAACATAGCTAAATTGATTAAAGTGCTAACTTAAAAAGTCATCATTTTTCTGCTTTAGATACTTCTTGTGGGTTTTGCTGCTTTGTGTAGTCATCCCCTACCCCTACTTCCCAACCATAAAAGTCTGGATTTTCTAGTTCTGGGGAAGTTTTGTTCATTTGTAGGAGATTGTCAAAGCAAAACTTTTGGTGTTTGGCATCCAAGAGATCTGGGAATGACTTCATTTATGTCTTGAATAGTCTTTGGTCATCACCTTTCAATTTAGATTCAAAGAGACAAGCAGATTAACAGTTTCTCAGAAAAGAAGCATGTATTTGAGTTGAAAGTTGAAAACAAAGATAGAGTTCTTTAAGCTTTTAAATTCTAGCACATTTCTTTCAAGTACTATATTTTTCTTTTACAGTTATTCTTCCTACGGAAATCAAAGCAATCAAGGTTATGGACAAGCATCACAAGTAGGTTAAAATATAAATTGTGTTCTTCATAAATAGTAATTTTTATCTTAAGTGGGTGATGAAACTTGTATTTACCTAAATTTCAGAGCTATTCTGGCTACGGGCAAACTACTGATTCTTCATATGGACAGAACTATGGCAGCTACTCCAGTTATGGACAAAGCCAATCAGGTTGGACTGGTTTGTTAAATTTCCTATTTTACAAATTAAAAATCAGAACCTTGACTAAATGATACATCCATCCTGTCTTTAGGTTATTCACAATCCTACAGTGGTTATGAGAATCAAAAGCAGAGCTCCTATGGCCAACAATCGTACAATAATAACCAGGGACAGCAAAACACGGAATCATCAGGAGGGTAAGGAAACAATAAAATACTGAGTTGTGTGGGGCAGTGCAAATAACACTTTAGATATTAAACAGACTTCACCAGCATACTCCTAGCTTTAAACATTTTTTTCAGAAAAGTTTTGATGGATTATTAGTTTTGTGTTAGGAAGAATGTGGAAATTGTCAGCACTGTCATTTGATACTTATGTGTTCGTAAGATTATTGTTTAGCTGTAAATGATGGTACATGATTTAAAGGTTAAAAGGAAAAATTTGGACCTCTGCTTTATAGCTGAGATTAAATAAAAACCTACCTATAAAAGGAGACTTCTTTCTCATTACTTCGATTTCTATTTTATTTTTTAACCATTTTAATATATTACCTGTTCAAGGACAAAATGTTAAAGAAAAAAGTGCCAAAACCTATCCACATATTTCAGATACCCTAAAATATGTTTGATTTGGTAACATAGGTATATGAATATTTACCAGCAAATTTACAGGTTTTATAGTTTTATAACTTTCAGATTTGAGGAGCTGTCTGTACGTGTTATTAATTTAAATAATAGCAATTTTTTTATTATGCTTTATATTTTGTTTTGTTTTGTTTTAAGATTTTTAAAAAAATTTCTTTTTTTTTATTGGGGAATTGGGGGAATGGGAACAACGCTGGGGAATT